CGAGCAATAAGGGGTGAGAGAGATGGGCTATAGAGCCCACTGCTGTGAAAAACACTTCACACCTCTCCACAAAGACTGAGATCAAAGGGAAAACTGCAGGTTTCTTCAATTCAGACAACCCTGTACGACTGACAATAAACAAACAGCATTTAAACACAATAGTGACACTTTTATATACGCTGGCTTGCTCGCTCACCTATATAGACCAAAGTGTTGCCATCAGTGTTTTTGAAGAAAAAAAATGAGGCCATTCAAAGCAGGCTAAGACTGCATTTTACTGCTACTGTGAAAAAAAAAAAAATCACTGACCACACCACATACACATTTTCAAAACAGCAGCCAACAACAGATCAAGCAAAAAGCCTTTAAAAGTGACCGAATTAAAGGCCTGTCTAGTTTAGACTTAAAGTACCAGAAGTTTGCCATGACAGAACTTTTTAACATTGTTTCCAATCCAATGACACCCAAATACAGTCAAACATGCAAGATGTGCTATCTTTACAGAGCAATAATTAACTTAACACAGAAATATTTAATTCTCTCTGATATATATGATATGGTTAGTATCGGTACTATGGAAAATTCATATCATCTGAAATGATACGTACTGATATATCGATACATCGAAGACCCCTTGGAAAAGCATGAAAAACGTATCAGCAAAACTTCTCTTCGATCTTTCTGTAACATTACTCCCTTGTTTATATCAGCCCTTTTAATGCTTTCCCTGCTCTGACACACCATGTGAGCCTCATGAAGGGCCTTACTAATCACACTCATTTACTATATTAGCTCTGTGGTTTCCAGCCCTGTGCATCTTACTGGCTTCCCCACAGTTCAACCTCTTGGATCTTGAGCTGAATCACAACTAAAACGTGCAGTGCATGGGGATCCAGCAGGGTTTGCTATGAAGGCCTTCTGCACTCAAGCATTCATAAAAATAAGGAAGCAATCTGCATCACACAAGGCTAAAACTACAAATAAGACCAAAAAAGGTGTGTCCATTTCCGACAGAGGCATAAAACAAGTACAGACAATAAGTCAATGCTCAGGTTTGACCCTTCTCACATCCCCCTGCTTCGAAAAGCTGCTCATGCACTTTATTACACGTAGAGGTGGGCGATATGGAAAAATGTAATATCACGATACTTCAGGAAGTTTTTTTTACGATACATTATGTTTATTTTCTCTAGTTAGGGGCAAAAAAAGTAGTGCCACATTTTAAAAATACAACCAAAAACTACAAAACTAAATGTGTGTGTTGAACTAAATCCAATTAAACAAGACTATTTACTCTCTCTTTAATCAAGCATGTCATTGTGAATGATATCCATGATATGCTCAAAAAAAGCGACATATAGTGATGTAATTTATAATTAAATATCATATTGCCCAGCTCTAATTACACACTGTAATGTACATACCATCCCATAATCCCTCTGTATAAGAGCCTCTCACACTTCCCTGTACATACGCACTGCAACATACATATTATAAATACGTTTGCATTTATTCTTACATTTGCTGCTCATTCTCTCAGCTGTACACACTCTACATGTGCACCACAGTATTTGATGGTATCTGCGCTTATCTCCCACTGCACATCCTCTGTATTACTTGCAGACGGTTTGTGGACTTTCTGTTTATACATATTATATCTTTTTCTATATTTATTTGATTATATATTTATGTTGACACCTGCATTAAGAGAAATTCCTCGTGCACCCAGATACTTGTAGACTGCGGCATAAGCTATCGATTTCGGAGAAGTGTCATCATGCAAGCAAAGACTTTTTAACGGACGGAAGATGCACCACAGCTTTGCATCTGCTGTTGCGTCCACATGCACGACGCAGCAGGCAAGACATTACTGCCCCCGTCATCTGAAGCAGGTCCTGCTCTTCATCATCACCCTCCTCCTCCTCATCCTCCAGCAGTGCTGCAGCTCTAATACGCACGTGTGCACAAGTGCAGCGTGCAACCCAGAAGGAAAACAGTGCCAGCTACACACTTACAAAAGAAGGTTCTTCAAGGGTTCCTTCGTAAAGGCAATGGCTCTGTTTAGAACCATGAGTTCTATATAGCACCATGCGCATGCCAAAATGGTACCCCTTTTCGGGGCAATATAGAACTATTTTCAACAAGATGCTGTCTAGAACAATGCATTACACGTCCTCCATCAATCTAAAGAACCATTTCACCAAGCAAAGAAGCATGTAAGCATGAAAATGGTTCTATGTAGAAGTCATGGTTCTAAATAGAACCGTTGTCTTTACTAAAGAACCGTTGAAGAGCCATGTTTAAGTGCGTAACGTTCACCTTTCTCCCTGTTAGCATCCCGCGAGGCTGAAGTCAGCTTCCTATTCGTCAGCTTGTTGTTCGATTTTCCCGTTCCACCTTAAATGGAGCAGTACATGCTGCACCATTTAAGGTAGAACGGAAACATTCGAACAACAAGCTGGTAAATGAGGTTGTTGCTGCTGCTGCTGCTGCTGCTGCTATTACTCTCTCTCCTCGTGTTAAAGCACTGGGACTCACCCACAGCTCGGTTCCCCAGCTCATGGCTCTCGCGCCGTCTCTCCCCGCTCGTGCACAGCCACGCTTTCAAACGGAGCGTTTTGTGTGTGTACCGCCTGTATGTCGCGCGAGCAAGCTCCCCTCAATCTGCTCCGGCGCGCGACTGTGTCTGCGTGTGGGTGGGTATTCTCTCGAGAGAAAGGAGAAGAGCTCTCTTCACTTCTCCTCTTCTCTGCTCTCCTTCCTGCTGTGAGTGAATCAACCAGAGAAGAAAAAAAAATCGTCTCTCTCTCTCTCTGTCTCTCTCTCTCTCTCTCTCTCTCTCTCTCTCTCTCAAAACGAGAAGAGCTCGCGCGCGCACTGGTGCTCGAGCCGCGAGTGACAGCTGCGCGCTGTTCAGAAGTGGTTCGATTCACGGAGCCGAATCTTTCTGACTGTACCGACTCAGCGAAGCCGGCTGCTTCTCGTCTAATCGGATTGGGTTAAGCGGGTCTGACGTAACGCCGCTGGTGACTCGAAATGTGGAGCCACAGAAAGAGGAAACCATACAGTAAGACTAAGATAATAATAATATATAAGATAATAAAAATAATAAAATATATATGTGTGTGTGTATAAAATTCCACAGCGCATATATATATATATATATATATATACCTGATCACATTGATTTATCAGTCAACTCAGGCTTTAGCAGAGCTCAGTAACACTGAGATTAATAACTGATCACATTGATTTATCAGTCTACTCAGGCTTTAGCAGAGCTCAGTAACACTGAGATTAATAACTGATCACATTGATTTATCAGTCTACTCAGGCTTTAGCAGAGCTCAGTAACACTGAGATTAATAACTGATCACATTGATTTATCAGTCTACTCAGGCTTTAGCAGAGCTCAGTAACGCTGAGATTAATAACTGATCATCACATTGATTTATCAGTCTACTCAGGCTTTAGTGTTTGTAAAGAAGTTGTTAATTATGTTCTTGTTGAATATTGTATGTTTTAATTTAATAGGTAAGTATTCTAAAAGTATTCTACTAAAAATGTAAAAACAGTATTCTGAACTCTTTATTTACTAAATATAATACATATTCTCAGTACTTGTCTTCCGTTGCATCCCAAGCCTGTTTAACTTCAACACGAACAGCGTAGATGCTGTAAAAACAGTTCGATTCAGTTGGACTGGTGAATCGGTTTAAAAGAACGATTCATTCACGAGTCAGTCAGCGTCCTGTCAGAATCTGGGGGAGGGGAGATCGATAAGCGAGGAGCGCGAGCCCATTCAAAAGAACTGTTCCAACGGTCGTTTGTAAACGTATAGCCGAGTTTCAGTCACGGTTCGGTTTAAAAAGCCTTAAATACGTTTTATTTCCACACCTGCAGGATAAATGGTAGCATTTAAAAAGCAATAAAGTCAAGGTAACAGCACGTGCGTGGTCTACAAAGCAGTTCTTGTACGTATTTTTCGTAACGAGAAAGTATTCGGGATCCTGAAAGATGAACCGCGGCGCCACCTGGTGGCCGTGTCTGAGTATTGCGGCACAGGCAGATTTATGGAAACATAGGGCTGTTCGATTCCTGGAAGGTTTAATGACACCGATTCCGATAATTGGCATTATTGTGTAGAATCAATCATTGTCGATTACAAAAATATGGCATCAGGAAGACACACAAATACATAAACATATGTATATATATACATTTATTGTGAAGCACTTTGGGCTGCATTACATGCATTAAAGGTGCCACTTTTAAAAAAAGCTTATTATTACTATATTGTAATTATTGTTAATGTAAACGGTCATTCAGAGTGATTTGGTGTGAAATGGTTCAGATGTCTTTACAGTGGTGGTGATAGAAACCAGGGGTCGCCATGACTACAACACAAATATTGACATTTTATTTACTATCCAAAACCACCAGTGAACCAACACAAGTCTTCCGAGCTTATACGGAATGTTGATGATGGAAAATAGTGGAAAATCTGAAATAATAAGTTTTCTTTGGGGACTATTTTGCCTCACAGCGCCCTGCATGTATCCCTCCACCATAAATGAGTTTTAAAAATATATTTAGACCAGAAGCTTATCTCAAAATTCTAATAACACAGCATCTCAGACGTCAGGCTCTGTATTCATAACCATTTCATGTAGTAACTTTCTGTGAGGGAGCTTTTAGAGGTGGACGTCTGGTTCCTATCAACACCACTGTGAACAATTCTGACTCGGTAAGTTTCTCTAGAACGGAGCGTTTCACACCAAACCACTGGGATGTAAACAGTCATTCAGAATCATTTAATTATGCTGAAAGTTGTAAACATTGGTGGAGTTCCCCTTGTTAAGAAGGGGGGCACAGTGGTGGCTCTATTATCTCCTGCACTGCGAGGCGGCACCACACAGGACACTGAATCAGGATCATTTAAAAAAAAACAGGCTGATCAGCTGCTGTAACTGATTTTAAATCAGAAATCAGACGCTTAGTTGAGCGAAGTGAGAGGTTTATTGGTGTTATACTCACAAGTACTTCATCAACCAACAAACGAACCCAAAACAAACTCCACCTTTCAAATAAACGCTTTATAAAAAAAGTAAATAAAAAATAAAATTGGAAATACACAGATGGGGAGAGAGCTGATCGCCATCTGAAAAACCTGCACACCTCTTCTTTTGAGATGCTGCGCATCGTCGACCGGCTCTTAGACTTCACTGACGTCATTAAATCCAAGACCAGGATCATGTTGTGCCACAAAAGTTGCCCCTGAATGGGACAAATAAGTGAAATTCCAGATTTAGTCATTTTTTTTGAGTATAAGTCTATGTTCCCCTCCCACACACCATCATAATAATTCTTTCGTTGTTTACTCTAAAATGCCTTACCAAGGCATTCATTCCCATCAAACCACTGTTCCCAGATGACACACAGTGACCAAACCCAGCACAGACACAGCCGACCTGATCCCAGACCAAAATAGCTGAAAAGATCAACAGAGCGCCATGAAGCGATAAGTATAAATATATGTAAATCATGTTTTCTCGCTACAGGATGAGGCCGGTCCTGGTCCTGGTCCTGGTCCTGCTCCCTGATCCAGTCAGAAGTCTTGTTCTTCTGGTCACTGAATCAAAACACCCTGTCGAACTCCGGTTGGCTAGTGGTGGCAGGGTTTCTGTTCTGATTGGCTGGCGGCTGGGGCATGTGACCTCGGCGCCTGGGTGGGGCCAGGTACTCGAACATGGAGGTGTTGTGCGTGGAGAGCATGTTCTTGAGGTCGGAGGGCATGGGGTCGGACCAGAAGAAGTCGTGGTTGAGCGCGTCGTCGCTGTCGATCCTCTGCGCGGGGTCCAGAACCAGCAGCTTGTCGATGAGGTCCAGAGCGTAGGGGTCCTTAACGTACGCCTTCAGCCTGTCCTTCACCTTCCGCTTCTGACCCTTCGGCAGCTCCATCTTCTGATACAGCTCGTACTTCTTATCCACACCTGGCCACACCTGGAAAAGAGAAAGAGACACAAATTAGTTAAGCTTTGCTTTGAGTCCAGCTTCGGTTAGTAAATTTGCACCAACAACCAGCAGCACAACTGCTTTGGGTGCGCTGACCTTTGAGGAGGTCAATACTGGCAAGGTAGGAGTGTCTAGTAGAGTGGACAGTGAGTGGACACAGTGTTCAAAAACTCCAGCAGCACTGCTGTGTCTGATCCACTCAGACCGGCACAACACACACCAACACACCACCACCACGTCAGTGTTACTGCAGGTTCTTCCATTGTTACAATGTCAAGCTTGTAACCACAGAAGAACCCTTTTTGGTGCAATACAGAACCCCTTTCAAAAAGGTGCTATATAGAACTATCAACAGCACATTCTCCATCAATCTGAAGAACTCTTTAACCATGCAAATGGAAATATGAGTGTTCATGGTTCTGTACAGCATCATTTTCTTTACTAAAGAACCCCTGCAGAACCATCTTTTTTAGGAGGTTTTAAATCATTACAGCGTAGAACAAGTTTAAACTTTTCAAAAAAAGAGCACACTCTCAAAAAAGATGGTTCTTCAAGGGTTCTTTAGTTTTAACACCAAAGAAAATAAAAACGAAAAAAGAAAATGAACACTCAAAGAACTATAAATACCCAAAGAACCCTGCGCATGATTTAAGGGTTCTTTGCATAGTAAAAGGGTTCTTTAGACTCCTGGAGACTGTGCTGTAGATGATTCTATATAGAACCTTTTTGAAAAGGGTTCTTCTATGCCTGTACATCTTAATGTACAGGCATTTTAAGTTATTATTCCCAAATAGCTACAATTTACGATGGGTGGCATGTCGATATTAGATCTTTTTTGCATTTGTGGTTGGTAAGGTAGCTTCCTGCAGTGTTCGACTGGACCAGGGGCTCTTTTACTGCCCTGTTGTGGCTCCACAGCAGAATCAGATTTGTAGGTAAAAATAAAATAATCCTCCTTTACAGTAAAATAAAGCTCTGCTGATCGTTCAACACAGTTTAACACTAAATGGTCTTAAACTCTGGAGTTAATGTAGAACTGCTAATTCACCCTTTAACCCTGAAGATTAGCACAGACTGCTGGTCACCATAGCAACACAGACAACAATCTCACCTAGCTAGTAGCGAAACGGCAAAGAGAGAGATTTAAGATGAACATCCAACATTCTGAGATGAATGGACTGATTTGTGTTTATAGTCACTCCAGCTGGTTTCCTGATATGTTTAATCTGAAACGAGAAACTGACAAACACTGAAAAGTCGCAAAGCTGAAGCTAAATTGTCCCGTTCCAAGAAAACCAGAACCAGAAAATTCAAACAAGAAGCTGGCGAACGAGAAGCGACTTCAGCCTCGTAAAAAGTCGAACGTTGAGACATTTTACAAAAAACTGTTCTACTTTTGAGGAAAAGTTTCCTGCTGGAGATGCGAGAAAAGTGGCTATAGTTGAACTAAAGCTTAAAGCAGAACAAAGTAAGTCTGTTTTCATTTCTATTATGTTTTTTAGTCTATACTAGAACATTAAAACAGTGAGACACGTTACTGCCAAGATGGTAAAACAGACATAAAATGTTGCGGCTTCAAGGTGGTTTGATTTTTGTTGAAAAGACAAAATGGCTCTTCTTAACATTTGGGTTGCGACCCCTGGACTAGAGATGGTAACGGAATTTCCAAACTGTTTCTATCCGATTAGGATAAAGAAACCCCCACTCAAACTGGGAATTCCTACTCGGAAAGTCCTGCTCCTCATCTGAGTTCAGGGCATGACATCAAATTCACACGGCTGCTCAGTCAACACAAAGTACCTAGGTAAACTATAACACTGACCGCTGTTCTGAAAGAAGTAAATACACCATATATTTTATGAAAAGACGGCGTCCTGAAATGACCTGCATGAGCACATCCTACTCAGTACCGTCGCGTGAATGAATCACGTGCATCATCAGCACAAACTAACGAGCAGAACGAGCTTTAGGGCAAAAATAAATAAATAAATAAATAAAAACAACAACCTTCAACCTGGTAATGTGAACGTAGCCTGGACGAAAACAGCTACAGAGAGATCCAACTCCACAGTCCAAATGAAGACGAATATCCGGTGTTTCCTCTCTACCATCACCACAATATCATTAACCGCAGCTAAACTGACAAGTCGTTCCTAAATATACTGTAATTTAAGGGCTTCTCTGTTTCACAAGGAGGTGTGACCTGCAGATTCCTAGTGACTGCAGCTTTATGGTAAACAAGTAAAGCAGGTATGTACATCAGCAGAGCCTCAGCTGGCTGACGAAGTGAATGAGCAGCTCACCTCTGCAGTGATGGATCCACACAGCTGGCTGATGAGCGTTAACTGATGCTGCTCTGTGTTGCCCTGCATGATGGGGCTCCTGGTCCACATCTCAGCCATGATACAGCCGGCGCCCCACAGGTCAATAGGAGGACCATAATCACGCTCTCCTGTACACACACGTGTATACACACACACACACACACACACACACACACACACACACACACACACACACAGAGTTTTATATTTTACTGCAAAGAAAATGAGCTTTAATCATTCTGCAGTATGAAGCAAATGCGGCTTAAACTCTAAATAAAGTATGTGGGCCTACGCTTCAATCCCTCACTCTAATGAATACAGAACTTATTTACATAGTAGTTACTACATCATTTACAGTAGGTACTGAATCATTGACATCAGCAGTTCAGTTAACTATCAGTGATTACAAAATCTGGGACTAGAAACTGGTCAAAGGCTTTGTTCACACAGCAGGTAAAATCGGCCCAAAATCTGATCTTTTTCTTCATATGTGACACAGACGTGCGTCTGTGTGTCAGTGTGAACAGATAAACACACTGAATCTGACTTTCAGTTCTGATTGGAGGACATATGTGGTACTGAAATCCGATACGTATCCGATCTGCATCAATGCGACTCTGAACAGCCAGATCTGAATTCATGAGACTTTTACATCAATCCAACTCTGCATTCGCCATAATTTTGCGCTGCTGAGACTCATAAACACTTAGGCTGTTATTTCTGTACAAAAATGATAAGAGACTCATCCAAACTCCTCCGTGTTCGAAGAGATTTTGAAAGAAGTGTCCGAACGCGGCCGCAGGAGAACGAGGCTGCAGCGTCAAAGAACAGTAAAAAGTCTGAAAGCAAAAGTTTAAAGAATCCGAGGACGCGAACCAAAGAAGAACACATTCTGGGTGATGAGCCCAGCTGTCAGTCAGTGAAGCTTCATGATGGCTCCTGTGATGCTGGTGAAGATGAAGCTGATCCTCCGGGAGCGACTGGCGTTCATTGGCCGTCGTGATTGTTTACCTCTGGATGAGCCGTGACGCTCTGTTCTCTTGCGTATGTGGGTCAGTTTAGGAGCTGATCTGTTCAGACTGATGTCGCATACAGATCACATTTAAAAGATAATGTGAACAGCCAAACTAATAAATCAGATTTGGGTCACTTTTACCTGCTGTGTGAACGTAGCCTAAAGGTCTGGATTTGAAGACAATCACCATAGGAATCATCAACTGATCACTGTTTTACCAGCAAGCGAAATGAGAGCAACAAAAACAAAGCCAGAACACTCCCAGTACAATTACCAAAGCTGTCTATACCAGCATTGTGTGTGATGCAAGACAGGGGGCCCTGTTTTTATTTTGAGGCACTGTATTGTATTGTGCTCTTTGACCCCCCTCAATAAAACCCTAGAAGGAAAAACTAAAGCAATGGAGCTGCATAACCTTTACTCTAAATTTCATCATAATAATAATAATAATAATAATAATAATGAAAAAAACATTTTTGCTACAAAATAATGGACCAATTAGCTGTGTTATCTAGCCAATAATCTAGCCAGCAAAAATTGGTAATAGGTAGTAAAGTTAGCTAGGTATAAAAGAACCGCTCATCTGCGATATCTGCTATACACGACTGACACTGCACTTAAATTGTTACACTGTGGTAAAATATGTAGATAAAAATATTGTACTTTTAAATTGTAAACTGATTTTTTAAACTGATTTATACTGAAAAAGCTAAAGTAAAATTCCTGCATAATCAAATGGCTTTGATGTAAACAGAGTCATTCAGAGTGGTTTGGAGTGAAACGCTCTGTTCTAGAGAAACTTGCCGAGTCAGAGTTGTTCACAGTGGTGGTGATATGAAACAGACGTCCACCTCTAAAAGCTCCCTCACAGAAAGTTGCTACAGGAAATGGTTATGAATTCACTGCCTGATGACTGAGACACTGTTTTATGATATTATTCACATCACATTATGGGCTAAAACACTTTTTAAATGCAATAATGGAGGAGGAATACATGCGGGGAGTCATAAAGCAAAAAAAAATTGCCCCCAAAGAAAACGTTTTGTTCAGATTTTCCACTATTTTCCATCATCAATATTCAATATATAAACTCAGAAGACTCGTGTAGGTTCACTGGTGGTTTTTGATAGTAAATAAAATGTCTATATTTGTGTTGTAGTCATGGCGACCCCTGGTTCCTATCACCACCACTGTAAAGACATCTGAACCATTTCACACCAAACCACTCTGAATGACTCTGTTTACATCTCACTCACTGAACTATGCAGAAATTCTTAAAATGTAAAAAAGTTAATTAATTTACAACTTAAGTGGCCACCTGGACTGCAGTTTAAACACAGAGCTATTTACTGACAGGTCTGCTGTTTGTTTATGTTGTGACCTGACATTTCCAGAGCAGACATCTTAAAGACGTTGTGAAGCGATACTACATTTTAAAGAGAGAGAGAGAATCAGTCTCCCACCTAGCAGTAGCTCCGGCGGTCGGTACCACAGGGTGACCACGCGGTTGGTGTAGCGGTTCCCCTGGCTGTTCTTAGCCAGACTGAAGGCTCGGGCCAGCCCAAAATCAGCCAGCTTCAGGATGCCGTCCCTCGTGATCAGAACGTTCGCCGCCTTCATGTCTCTGTGCAGAATCTGACAGACGAGGACAAACATTGTTACAAACTACTCAACACCAAACTTCTGATCACCAAGACTCGATCAATCAAAGCACATTCAACTCATCAATTACAGGAAATATGAATTATGAGGCAACATACAGCATCTCTCATCAATTACTGCTGAGAGAGGAGAACATCCCTGCACTCTGACCTTGTTCCTGTGGATGTAGTAGAGGCCATTCAGGAGCATCTGCATGACCTTCTTTATCTCGGACAGCGTGAACTTAACGTTGGCGTTGCTGAGCAACCCGGCCAGATCATGCTCGCAGAAATCAAACACAAGGTAGATGCTGCCCTTGTAGCGGTTAAACTGGGTGGCTGTAGGACAAAAACAAAAACAACAGCTATGTAAACGGTCATTTACAGTTAGTCATTAGGATTCAGGTGTTTTACTACTAGACTCTGGACCACTTTTTTGGACACAGACTGTTCTGGATGAATACAGATTTTAATAATAATAATAATAATAATAATAATAACAACAATAATAACAATAATAATAAATAGTACATTTTTCCAACGCTACATTCAATCTATGTCTCAAAATTCGCTACTGCATGTCCATTTGCCAGTTTCTCCTTTATTCTCCTTCAAACTACTGTTTATGTTGAACTGCAACTACACCAACTACAGTAAAAAGACAGATTCAATATGAAGAAGACTAAGATTAGGATCAGAAAAGACTGCCGACTTTTCCATTGATGGAGACATTGATAGATAACCTCCTGGAACACTATAGTCACAACCTAGCATCTACCTAGTGACCACCAGAGATAATATAGCAAACATAGTCATACCCTAGCAACCACCGGGAACACCATAGCAACCCCCTAGCACTCAACAGAGACAATATAGCAAACACCAAAGCCCCTAGCATCCACCTTCAATACTACAGCAACCACAGCAACACCTTAGCAACCACCTGGAACACTATCAACAAGTACATTATGGCCCAATCCCATTTCACCCCTCGCCCCTACCACTTAGCCCTTAGCCCTCTGTTTTGCGTGTTCATGTCTAGGGGTAGGGTGTCCTGATTGTTGTTGAGATAGAGGGGGGAGGGTGAAGTGTTGGGGCTACATGACCCTCCAAGCGGAGGTTTTTCAGAGACTCCAAACAGAGAGATATGAGAAAAAAGAAAAACCGGCAAGATGGAGAACAAGAGACCAAAGAAACCCACAAATGTGAGAATTTTCTCTGTTAAAAAATTACAATAACCACTGTATTATCTTAGTTTAATGTCGTTTCAGTGTATTTTGGTCGTTTTCTTCAAAACAAGCATAAAAAAAAATCACTAATAGTATGCTAATGTTTCAGTAGCTAGCTAGCTAACTTTCCTGTTCCACCCTAAATAGTCCAGCAGTTCTGATACCTGAAGCGGCAGAATGTAACTGCTGCACCATTTAAGGTGGAATGGGAAAATTTGAACAAGAATCTGGTGAATATCTGACTTCAGCTTCATATCACTGAAGAATTAGGGGTGGGTGATAATAAATAATTGCCCCCTCTTTGAAGATCATATGATTCCCTAAATGTAACTAAAGTCCAGCAGTGAGGAGCTGAACTTTACCCTCCTCTGTTGTCACTGCAGACTGACAGGGTCGCCTACAGAGCAGCGCTAGTAGCTGTTAATGAAGTGATGCTCTTTATTTGAGGGTCTCATTTCGTAGAGGAAGATTTCAACCACTACCCCTCGTAACTCAGTTCCAAGGGGTTAGGGTTACACTCGAAAACAAGGAGTAGGGGTAAAAAGAAGAAATGGGATTGGCTCTATATTCAAAATAATAAGGAGCACAACATGAAACCGTTAAGATGACTACATTTTTGCCATAACACCCACCACACCTCACCTTTGGTTCTGCAGATCTCTATCAGGTTCACGACATTCTCGTGCTTCAACAGCTGGAGGATTTTGATCTCCCTCAGAGCTGTGATGGGGAACTGAAGAGAAGAAGAGAAAAGAAGAAGAAAAAAAAACAAAAAAAAACAAGCATGTTCAACGGAGAGCGACTTCGTGTGTAGATGTGACGTTGCTGTTTATCGCTGCTGTCGGAACAAAACCTCGTATCTCCAAAATGGTAACTTTACAGGAGAAGAAAAAAAACACTTTACTTTTAATGTAGGTCAATGGAACCAGACGTTTTTCCTAATCAGTTTGGGTCGTTTCTTTTGGTCCATTCATCATGACCTTTACACACCATATAAAGCCCAACAGGCATTTTCAAATGATAAAAACCGAAAAGCAACTAATCGAGATACGAGGTTTGGTTCCGACAGAAACAATATGCAAATCTAAAGCTCAGCCTCCGAGACTCACCCCTTCTTTCTCATTTTCCATCAGCACCTTCTTCAGAGCCACCTTCTTACCCGTCTGTCTGTGTTTGGCTTTGAACACCTCCCTGAAAAAGACAGAACGAAGAGACTGCAATTGTAGTGACCTACAACAGAAAACCCATGGGGTTCAGTTAATGAAACTGATCAGTGATCAGCACCGATACACCAAACCGTGCAGGACAGCGAGGCCCCGAGACTGGAGCCGAGAATTACTGGACTACAGTGTTTAGCTCAATCCAGTTGCTTCGAGATTTCCAACTTGCTGGTTTCAACAGTGAAAACTAACAACAGGCAGACAGACAGACACACAGAGAACAGATGGATGGACAAAAGAACAAAGCAGAGATGGGTAGAGTAGCCTAAATCAATACTCAACTGAAAGTATTGATATATGGGTAAAATAATCATCATTAAAAGTACCTTCAAATAAAACAACCTGTGGAAGAGTACCAGATCAAAAAACTACTGAAGTACTGAGGAACTTGCAGAACTGCAGCAGAACCTCTTAGTAAATCCAGCATCTATCAGCACAGGACCTGAAGTGTGTGCAGCTCTATTTTTAAGGTTATTTTGGTCTAAAATAAAATGATAAAGCTTTAAAATCTGACATGCCACCAATCACAAAGCACAACAGATGCTGTCAATAAAAAACAATGACATTAACACAAAAAACAAGCAATTAGTGACTAATTATGAACAGCACAACTGTAACTGAGTAACAAGTCCAATCCTTTACTCACTAATGTGCCTATGAAGTGAAAGTATTACCATTGGTAAATACCTGAGTTGATGTTACTAGTTACTACCCACCTGTAGAACAGACAGACACACACACACAGACAGGCAGACACAGACAGACAGGCAGACACACACACACAGACAGACAGGCACACACGCACACACACACAGACAGACAGACAGACAGGCAGGCAGACAGGCAGGCAGACAGACACACAGACACACACACAGACAGGCAGACGCAGACAGACAGACACACACACAGACAGATAGGCAGACACACACACACAGACAGACAGGCAGACACACACACACAGACAGGCAGACACACAGACACAGACAGGCAGACACACAGACACAGACAGGCAGACACACAGACACAGACAGGCAGACACACAGACACAGACAGGCAGACACACAGACACAGACAGGCAGACAGACAGGCAGGCAGACACACAGACACAGACAGGCAGACACACAGACACAGACAGGCAGACAGACAGGCAGGCAGACACACAGTCACAGACAGACAGGCAGACACACAGTCACAGACAGACAGGCAGACACACAGTCACAGACAGACAGGCAGACACACAGTCACAGACAGACAGGCAGGCAGACACACAGTCACAGACAGGCAGGCAGACACACAGTCACAGACAGGCAGACAGACACACAGTCACAGACAGGCAGACAGACACACAGTCACAGACAGGCAGACAGACACACACACACACAGACAGACAGACAGACACACAGTCACAGACAGGCAGACAGACAGTCACAGACAGGCAGACAGACACACAGTCACAGACAGGCAGACAGACACACAGTCACAGACAGGCAGACAGACAGACACACAGTCACAGGCAGACAGACACACAGTCACAGACAGGCAGACAGACACACAGTCACAGACAGGCAGACAGACACGCACACACAGACAGACAGACACGCAGTCACAGACAGACAGACACACAGTCACAGACAGGCAGGCAGACAAACAGACAGACAGGCACACAGTCACAGACAGGCAGACAGACACACACACACAGACAGACAGACAGACACACAGTCACAGGCAGACAGACACACAGTCACAGACAGGCAGACAGACACACAGTCACAGACAGGCAGACAGACACGCACACACAGACAGGCAGACACAGACAGACAGGCAGACACACACACACAGACAGACAGACAGACAGGCACGCAGACAGACAGACACACAGGCAGACAGACAGACACACAGGCAGACAGACAGACACAGTCACAGACACACAGACACAGTCACAGACACACAGACACAGTCACAGACACACAGAGACAGACAGACACAGTCACAGACACACAGAGACAGACAGACAGACAGACAGACACACAGACAGACACACAGACAGACAGGCAGACACAGTCACAGACACACAGTCACAGACAGGCAGACACAGTCACAGACACACAGTCACAGACAGGCAGACACACAGACACAGACAGACAGACAGACAGTCACAGACAGGCAGACACACAATCACAGACAGGCAGACACACAGACAGACAGACAGACACACACACAGACAGACAGACACACACACACAGACAGACAGACAGACAGACACACACACACACACACAGACAGACAGACACACACACACACACACAGACAGACAGACACACACACACACACAGACAGACAGACACACACACACACACAGACAGACAGACACACACACACACACACAGACAGACAGACACACACACACACACACACACAGACAGACAGACACACACACACACACACAGACAGACAGACACACACACACACACACAGACAGACAGACACACACACACAGACAGACAGACACACACACACACACACACACACAGACAGACACACACAGACAGACAGAATACCTGCCAACCCGTAGTTAGCCTAGCCGCCCAGCTAGGTTAACAGTGTGAGCCAGGCGAACACAACACATCTGAAATCTCATATTTCCTCGCTCCGCCCCTCAGAATCAGACAGACGACAGACAGACAGACAGACAGAGAGAGAGAGAGAGAGAGAGACAGCCGGTGTTTACCCGAAGGTGCCCTGTCCGATCTTGGCGAGCTTCTCGTACTTGGAGAACTCGTCGCAGAACGGAAACTCCACTCCGTCGTAGTACTTGGACATGATGGCGGTCTCCCGGTCCGGCCTACAGAACACAGACCAGACTCACATTAATCCGCCCTGCGGCCACACGGCGCAGTGAGGGCGCTGACCGCTGGTAAGACACTCTAAAGAGGTTCAGAGCAGCAAATATCCGTAAACACAACAAAATCGTGAATAAATTCGTACTTATCGCCGCCGGAGCCGCCGCTTTTGTCTCGCTGCATCCTCGCTCCTCTTCTGCGGCGTGAAGGGTGAACGGAGGAACTATAAACCACAGCGCCACCCAGAGGCCGGCGAGCCTGCGCGCTGCACACTGATACTGATATTCATAACAATCACAACACATCACTGCTGCACTTAACGCGTAATCAGCAAAACAGTCTAAAATAACGCGAAATCACACTTAATCAAACAAATAAACAAGCAAACAAGATAAATAAATAATATTCATTACAAAAAATCATATCATAATTATAACCGGACACTGAGGGATTCAAAATATGTTGCAAAACTCCAGATTTTTGGTGTAGGATGTAAACATTATTAAAGTTTCAAAGTGTACCACTTCTCAGTCCAGTACAGTCCAGATACTAAGCTGCCTGTTATGAGTTCACTGATTTTGTAATGTGACAAAAACCAAAGCTTTTGCATGTATCTGGCTATTCAGCCTACACCGGTTTAGCCCACCCTTTCACACTCCAGTTATAAGTTTCACTCTGGACTCCTTCTTAAGGAGGCCCAATATCACTTACATACACCAGTCTTACAGGCACAGGAAAAAACAGCCTGTTTAATTCGAAGTGATAAAGAGAGGCTGGAGAATAGTCATGCAAATTGATTTATGACTGTTTTTTGATGCATAAAAGCGCAAATACATCATAAGTGGACTTTAGGGACAATAAAATTCAAGAAAAATGCTTCAGGGCACAAGTTCAGCTGCTGAGACAGCAAATGTAGAGAGGGGAGAACTGCCACTCTGCAAAGTCTTGCAGGTTTGTCAGACAGTAGAGGGCGCTCCAGAGCAAGGCCAAAACGAAAGGGTTAATATGGAGCATTTGAGCAAAATCATAGTTTGGAAATGCTTAAAGAATTTTTTTATAGAAGAATGTATTCAGAATGTGTCTGATCATGACATCAGTGAGCGAAAACCACTTCACTAAGCAGCTCTGCTCACCAATCAATCAGCACTCAGTAGCAGTAATGCTAACCAATCATCACTCAGTAGCAGTAATGCCAACCAATCAGCTCTCAGTAGCAGTAATGCTAACCAATCAGCACTCAGTAGCAGTAATGCTAACCAATCAGCACTCAGCAGCAGTAATGCTAACCAATCAGCTCTCAGTAGCAATAATGCTAATCAGCACTCGGTGGACTGCAAATGTGAACTGTTGCGTCACTAATTTTTTTCTGCCATCAAAGTGCATCAATTAAAAACTGGCGCTCTTACAGTTTGCAACTAGCAAACAGTGCAGGCCAAAAATCCACACATAACCTAGTCAAAGTGTCCCTTTGGCTGAAATGGGAAAAAGAATTTCATCACACCATCAGCTGTAAACACACTCGCATTCATTCCACAGCAGTGCTGCAGTGGTCTGTAGAGTGAGATTTTAAAGAGTAGCCCCCTGTTTTCCCCACTGTGTTAGCTCAATTAGTAAAAGGTGTTAGACAGGCGTGGACGATATGGCAAAATATGTATCACAATATTCATCACGATATTTCAGTTTACACATCTCCCTTTTCAAATCCAAAAATAACTTAGGCCACAGTAGTAAACTAGTTTGAAAATAATTGAAAACGACAAGATTTTAAACTGCTCCATCTCTTAAACAGGACTGCTGATAAACATCACTTTACTCTGCTAGCTGGCTAGTTAGCATGCTAAAACCTACACAGCAAGCAACAACAAAAACAAGCGACTAAACCATGTTTATATAACTTTATACCATTCATTCACACCTTTTATGTACTTACAGGTTTTGTATTACAAAAGGCTTGACTGGCCTGAAGCTAACCTAGATGATTGGGTTACATAATCGGCTAGGTTAGCGTCACATATATTACATATTTTGTTTATTATTGAGCCAAACGCTACAAACTACTACTAAGATTTTTGTCCGATTTTACCGGTGATTTCAAATGTGGTTTTAAACGGTAATTTAATTTTCAGTTTCAAGTGTTTTGGTTTCTCCCCTTTCAAACAGAGAGGGGTCTGGTCTTGTAAGGCTGGAAATAACTGCCCTGTGGTGTCACAAAGATGGGTGCCGAACTAACAGACTTTCCTATAAGGACTTTATTTAAGGTTCTTTATAACGTCTCTGGTGTCCATCTGAGTGGTGAGAACCCATAGGAAAAAAATTCTTTCTCAAGATTGTCTCAGAGAAATAAAGCAGATCTCAATATTATATTACTGAAGGGTCACATCTCACACTTTTCTCATGAAGATATTATTCAGCTGAGACCGGGGTCAGACACTAAAGAGTTAAACCACATGTGTGACAAGATTTTGATCAAAGTGAGAAAATCTGAGTTTTATTTGCAGGAGCCAAAGTTCAGAAACAGGAGAAAAAGACTTAAGTCTCACTCTGATTTCAAACTGGACTTAACTGTGTCTAGGAGAAGAACCTGAGATCAAAAGGAGATCTCATTTAGAATATTTCTTTCCTGTGGGAAAGTGGGTGACAGCATGTTAAAGAGTATTGAAACAGGACCTAAAACCCCCCTTCTGGTGATTTATCTGAAAGTTATGAAAAAAAGTACTGAATAAAAAAGTACTTTTAGTAACTGAATGCTACAGAAAGACTGATGACCACTGTTACTGCTAGAAAGCCAAATATCTCATTGCAGCCGTATAACAGTCTTCAAATCATCATTTCAGTGGAGAGAGCAGATCACTCAAATGACAGAAGCGACTCAGCAGATGAGGCCAAGATAACAGCTAACGTACTGCTAGCAAGATTGCCTGGTTAGATGACTTAAGTTTGGCTTCGTTTCAGAGAAAAGATAAAATAAATGTCTCTGGCACTTAGTTTGTGCTAAATAAAGTTAACCCTATTGTTTTCTTCACAATTGTGTTCAGCGGCTGAGGTACGAGCAAAGATATACAGACCGAGATGCCACGCTGAGTCCAGACAGGCACGTCAACGGCGCCGCCATCTTGGGGTGGTCAACATCGCTGCTGGACTACATTCAGTACCATTACAGAGGGGCAGTTTAATAAAGATACTGTCCAAAATTACACTATTTAAGAATACTGCTCTCAGAAAGTGGGATAGGATTATACAACGGAGAGAATGCAGTGATCCACACTCATGTTTGTGTGATGTTTGTGTTTATACAACAGTTAGTTCCGGCCAGGCAAGCTGATTGGTTGAGAGGCGTTCTAACCATAACATCACGGGTTTTTCACAAACACTGTATCACTCCGCTGAGACGCCTTTGCTAAGCAACGACTTTGACAGCTGTAGGAGACGCTCAAGCCATTTGAACGTTTTTACTTCTTACTTTGCCACAAACAGAAAACGGACACTTTTAAGATCACATTTGACCGACAGCCGATTTGGTCCGACTCTAAAGATGAGGCTACACTAAATTCCCAAACGGTCAGTTGGTCTGTGTGGAGCTGGAGAACGAACTGCAAGCTGAGCAGCGAGTGGGCGGAGCTCGTTACTCTGACGTAGCAACGAGCTGCTCGTTAAGGAACTATAATTTGGCGGAAGGAACCGCGAACATTAAAACTTATTAAACGCCGCGTTCACGGCCCAGTTTATTAATTTATTACTTTATTTATTTAACTGTTGTATTAAAGCAATAGAACACTCGAGGAGTGTGTTATCGCCAATAACATCACGGCTGTGATGATCTACGGCGACCAAATCACAGAAGTGATGTTATTTCGCGATAACGCGCTCCCTCTCTGTTCTACTGCTTAAGTAGATATGGCCGTGTGGTTGGTGAGTTGGTTGTATCTGGGTAAGTTATAGCATTCCTTAATCCGTATATATTTATAATAGATTAGCGTTAGCACCTTCTTACACAAGCTGAAGTCAGATTCTTATTTGCCAGCTTCTTGTTCGAATTTTCCCATTTACTTTATGGTGCCTGAAGCTGCACCATTTAAGGTGGAACGGGAAAATTCACACAAGAAACTGGCGAATGGCGGACGCGCAGACGTATCGCCTCAGACAGGGAACAAACAACACGGCATGTAGCTGTGTGTATCTAAGGGTAAGAGTAACACTAATTCTAGATTGCATGTATTATTAGCTTATAGCTCAGTGGCTAGGCTAGCAGTCAGGATTGTTGACACCACAGTGATTCCTTTATATAGACCACTGTAGTCGTGACGTCATTTTGTAGTCCGCTCCATGTTCTTATGCCCATATTAGGAACTCCGGGTCTGAGCTCCGTTTCTCTATGGGCCAGAATGAATAGGGTTCTAGAAAAATCGCCTCTAGCGCCCCCTGTGTTAAATAAACATGTTCAGAATCCAATACGTTCTGTCCTGTGAACATTCTTCTCTCTAGTACCACTGGATCCTCCGAATTACAAGATTGTTAAAGAGTTGAAATATGAATATTGCTACATGTGAGCTAAAGCTACTGCGTGCTGAGTTCACGTCATTAGACTGGCAGCCTCCTTAATCAGGTTATCACCCCCGATAAACTGATTTCGGCTCTCACAATATCATAATTATTACTTTAACGCTGGTAACATTTTTCTGAGGACATTTTCTCAGGACATTCGCCAGCTTTTTGTTTGACTTCTCCCGTTCCACCTTAAGTGGAGCAGCAGTCACGTTCTGAACTGCTGCGCCATTTAAGGTGGAATGGGGAAATTCGAACAAGCAGCTAGAGAAAAAGAAATAGACTTCAGCATCGTGGAGGATTGAAAGGCCTGATATGAGGAGGTTTCTCTATTTCCGCTAAACAACTGGGTGACTAACTTATTCAGCTGTTTCACAGAACTAACAGGTCAGTATTTTGTCTCGTTTGCTGATGTTTGTGATAGCTAGTCACAGCTGCAGCACCATTTAAGGTGGAACGGGAACATTCAAACAAGAAGTGGCGAAAAAAAGAAGCTAAATTCAGCCTCGTAGTTTAACACGGGTGGTATTTTTGATAAGGAGCTTTAGCCTCAAAATATTCTACATAGAGGTTTTATTTACGGATATACCTGTAAATATTCAATACGGTAGAAGATTTTGATAAGGTAGCTCAGCTCGTCAGAGCACCACCACAGCCCGTCTTAGACTAGTGTAGCTTAGCGACATCAAATTGATGCGCAGTAGCTTTAGCTCACATGTAGCAATAATATTATAGCTCTTTAACGACTTCGTAATTCAGACGATCCAGCGGTATTCAGGAGAAAAATGTACACAGGACAAAACGTATCGGGTTCTGAACATTTTTATTTAACACAGGGGGCGCTAGAGGAGATTTTTCGAAAACCCTATTCATTCTGGCCCGTAGAGAAATGGAGCTCAGACCCGGAGTTCCTAATATGGGCATAACGAGGACTACAGAATGACGCACGACTACAGTGCTCTATTGCAGATATGCATCATCTGCATAGCCACGCCTCCAAAGTCTCAGGCACCAGCGCCAGCCAGGAGCAGAACACTAGACTATGTATAATGCATGCTGGGAATTGTAGTGAAGTATTGTTAATTATGTCAAACCGATGAGGCTGAGGGATATAAAACAACTCAGCACATGAGTATTATGTCTTTTAAATGTGATGGGTGAAAAATGAACATAAAACAGCTCAAAGAAAGAATGAAAACAAACACATCAGCATTTCTGATAAATTATTTAATTTAATTAAATCTTTAAAAATCCTTCTCATTGTGTACTGTGGCACTGTAAGACATTTGGGGGTAATTGTTGGAGCTTTTTTTTATTTTTTATTTAACAAAACTGACACTCAGTTTAGTTGTTCACACCTTTACAAGGCCTGCATGTGCGCACACACACACACACACTCACACGGTTACATAATGAATGCAAACAAATGTATTTTTAATGAGGAAAAAAAAAAAGTGTGTGGGAAACAAGGTTCAAAGGTGATCAGTTCATGTAAACCATTTAAGTGATTCCTGTCCGCCTGTGTTTCACCTATAGTACGTATGGAAAACAAACAGGCTAAAAAAAAAGTAAACATGAATGAAAATCATTTTCCTCCCAAACTAGCCAGGAACCCACCATTCTATACTATATTAAGACATTTTGTCATTCATTATATATAGACGTTGGCAGCATTACTGCTGAATTAACCCTCATTAGATTATATTCTTAGATTATATACCTTCTCAACCATTTCATGGTAAAGATAAGTGTGCCATCTAAAAGGAAACTGCACTTTTCTTTCAGAATGTCTGCTTAATTAAATGGTTGAGATGTAAACAGAGTCATTCAGAGTGGTTTGGTGTGAAACGCTCTGTTCTAGAGAAACTTACAGAGTCAGAATTGTTCACAGTGGTGGTGATAGGAACCAGACGTCCACCTCTAAAAGCTCCATCACAGAAAGTTACTACATGAAATGGTTATGAATTCACTGCCTGATGTCTGAGACACTGTTTTATGATAGTTTGGAGAAGATTTTGGCCTAAAATGTACTTTTAAAACCCAATATTTTTCTGATTTAACACTTTTTTCTGATTAACATTATATATAAAACCCAGAAGACACATGTAGGTTCACTGTGAATGACTTGTACACCTCAACCATTACGGATCATGCTGAAATTCTGAAAAATCAGTCGAATTCCCCTTTCAGAACTATTCTTATTCTTACCATTTTAGCACCAGCCAAAGATGCCAACTGAAATATGATAGCATTTCTTTTTGTTCATTTTCTTTAAAGAAGCTCAAATATAAGAAAAACCCACTACAGCTACAGCGTTAATAAAGAAAGACATGAAAAAAGAGAAGTTCAAATGAAGGACAGATGGAAAAACAGGGCAGTGGAGTCCACATTGACAGACTCCAGTTCAAGTAGTGTCTCACATGTATGTGCAGATTTGTATGTTTCAGACTCAGAGCTTCAGGTTTGACTCCAGTTCTAAGGTCTACAGCTAACTTTGCAGTCTTGAATAGGGCTGCACAATATATCGCTTATCAGGCTTTATCGCAATACTGGCAATATCGTTCTATCGCATACACGCACATGAGCTTCTACATGATCACTCATTTTTATGAGCATCCTGACTAATCACAGCCAGTGTACATGAGCTTCCTTGTGTATTTGGGGGTTTTAAAACTGTCACATGATCCAACAAACAAACAACTGTGGTGAAAAATAATGCAGACCGATATTTAACCACATCAAGGGTTCACTGTGTTTTAATACATTGCAAGGCATGCAAGGAATACATCACAATATGGTATTTCGTCCATATCGTGCAGCCCTAGTCTTAAGGACTCTCAGTGGAAAACAGGGGTTGGCAATGTGACCATATTTATCATTATCGTGATAAATTATGCCACAATATGCATTTCTGGGCCATATCATGGACATCAACAGCACTTAAAGGAACTCCAACTGCATGTCTCATCAAAAAGACAGCATTATTAGTCCTGGTTAACTGGATTTAGTGCAGTGCAGTCTGTGAGACGTTACATAAAATTCATTGTGCGCATAGTTTTCATGGCATTTTTTTTTAAATGTGGCACCACTAGTGCATTTTCTCCTTTACCAACATATCAAACTAAATACTGTGTAATGAGAAAATGTGTTGATGTATGGTGAGATATTATATCTGCCTTGTTGCCCAACCCAGTGGAAAAGCGCCTGAAAAGCCAGCCTTCAGGGTCAATAACAGCTTAAGGTCCACAAGTCTGATTCTAGATTTCCCCGACAGATTGGGATTAGTCCTGAACAGTTCGTAGTGTGATTTTATCCTGTACTAAGTTTAATTTGCGTCTACGTCATAGGCTCTGTGAACATTTCCACAGAAGAGCAGCACAGCTGTCTGTCCTGCACGAGAAGGCACAGGTGAAGAACTAAGTGCTTTCGCCTCCTGCTCGTTGCGGCCACTAGGTGGCACTGTGGTAGCAGGTCAATTCAATAAGATTTTTACAGCAGGCTGGTTGTGCAAGGCCAAGTTTATGAGTATCTACAGATTTTGAATTTGGGTTAGTCAGAAGAAGAAACACCTAGGGGTATTTCGCAAAACAAGACTTCGAAGTAAAGCTGGATAACTTAAGCCAAAAGTGAGGATTCTCCAATTAGAACTGACTTAAGTTACCCAGCCGACCGACATGCTGCTCTGTGAAATACCCCTCTGATGAACGCTCACCTAACCACATGCACACATATGCAGCTGTGTTAGGATGCCAAGGAAGGCTCCAGGTGTTTCAGAGCCCCGCCCACCAAATGTAAGCTCCCTGTGATTAGCACGTGGATATTAGAGGCCTCTCGCAGCGGCGCGGCTTTAGCGTTGACGCTAGCTTTCACGGGTATCAGGTGCTTGCTGGGGTCGGACAGGACCGGGTCTTTTCCCTGCGTTATCCACCGGAGGGCGCTCAGGATGCAGGGGAACACCAGTGTCGCGCTACGCTGCTCCGCCACCAGGGGGAGACCATCACCGATCAGAAACTCCGCCTCCGGCTTTTCCTCCTGACCGTTTAGGATGCGCCAGCTCTGCTGGTTGTCTAAGCAACGGGTGAGCATGTTCTCCACGGAGACATTGAAGTTCTGTTGATCTGTGAGAAGAAATATGAATAAAGAAACAGAGACAAAGAAATGTTAAAAGTGGCCACATAATACATTTTTCTTTTATTTTAGTTTTCCCTCTGTGGTCCACTTATAACGTGAGGTTTTATTCCCCAGAAAGAGTCATAATTTGTTTTTACGTGACTATTTTTCCAACCTTTATCCCTTAGAATTAATCTGGTTTCCAGTGCTATTAAGACTGATTTATGTAAATGAGCTCTGTTCTGATTGGCCGCCCTGTATTGTACAACCAATCCAAGCTAAAATGTATGGTGGTTCAGAGTGAAATCTTCAGGTAAAGAAAAAAAGAACTTCAGCCACTCCTTTCACATGTGTGGATCCTTTGGAAGGTTGTAATGATTCATTTGCCTCCTGACAGCCATGAACAGTACAACGTTTAATGTTTTTACATTAATAACTACAGACTGTCTGCAGTAACAACACTCTGCATCACTTCAATGTGAATCCAAGTCCACAGCTGAGTGCCCTAACTCAATAAATATCACGTAGCTGTTATTGGAGTGTCTTCTGACCTGCATTGCATGCAGCGATGGCCTCAGTGATGTTAGGACAGAACACAGCAAAATCAAAATGGCACGGCTGTGGAAAAACACAAACACATCGGTAATGAATAACACCAAACTAATGCTCCTACTAACACTGATCAATTATAAAACAACTTTAAAGATCACTAAAAAGTCAACAGTAAAATGGCAGTTTCAAAAGAAACAAAAAAAAAAAAACAGTATTAAGTATTAAATATCAAAAATGCTCATTTCTACTAGCGTCCCTATGGGAGTTCCAATAGTAGGTTAGCTTGCTCTGGTCCACGTTCTACATTAAATAGACAATTGAAACTTGCACAGGACATTCTATGTGTTTTATTTGTAGTTTATGGTAAACATTAACATATATTTGAGCTTGTATTTATCAGTTTTGTATGCATCAGTGACTCTTTCAGTAAAGAGCCCTGGCGCAGAGCCGCCACCACCACCGCTTTCCATTCCTAACAACTAACCTAAACCTGCTTAGACTACAACTTGTATTTGTAGTCAGTGACGTATCTAGAACCTCCAGAAGGACTAGAGTAACAGTAGTAGTGTGTTTCTCACAAAGTCCCACTGTAAATCAAAACGTGATTCTCTGTCACTTTCTAATTATGCTGGCATCTTATCTAACATGAAGTCTTAACCAATGAGCTTGCTTGGCCATATCTACCTGGATACCATAGAGAAAACAATCCTGGATCATTTTCTGTTTGATGTTTCAAGATTCCAACCTTTTTTTTTAGCAAACAAACCTTACAATAAAATAACTCTCCTTCACTGAGGCTCGCCAGTGCTTTAAGAGCTGAACATGGTGCTAAGAATTTGTCTTACCACAAGCAGTTTGAGCATGGCGGCACAGTCCCTCTCTCCAGTGGCGTTGAACAGCAGCACTCGCACCAGTGAACCCCTGCGCACGCAAAGAATTCAGCGTTAAAGTCCAAGCTATAATCTTTCAATTAGATTTTACAACAATTAAAATACATACTGTAATTTTCTCAATACTTTTTAACTAAGCATCATCTAAAGGAAAAGAATTAGACATAAGATATTAATAATAACGTAGAAACCCACGTGATGTTTGTCTCGTGCTGTGCGGCCGCCTCACTGAACCAGCTCACGCAGGCCTGCATGCTGCGCATGGTGTGAGCTCCGTCCAGAAAGTACGTGATGCTTCCGTGGGTCAGCGTCTGATTCCGGCCAAGCCATTCAGTCGCCGCCAAACCTAGAAAAAACATACGCAAAAGCACATCTGCATAAACATCAGCTACACAGCTGGAAAGAGTAAAACTGTAGGCTGGGCTGCGGCCCAGGTGAGCTGCATTTCTAGACTGCTACATCATCCGAGGCTGTTCTAATCAGAAACTTTTACAATACAGCCGAGAAATGCAGCCTACATTCCGACATTTTTCGAGGAAGCTACTAGTGTGTCTCTGTGCTCTCCAGGCGTCCATAATCCATTGCGCATGTCTTAAAGTGTAAGAGAAATGCTGGCAGATGAAACCAATCACGACACCTTGTTTAAAAAGGACAGTAAAGCATATATTAACATCTCGTTGCTGTCAAAAAAAACAAATATCTTCATTTTTTTAATTTTTATTTTTCTACATCATTTAAACACACCAGCTGTTCTTTACTTTGGCCCAATCCCATTTCACCCCTCGCCCCTACCACTTAGCGCTTATCCCTCCAGTTTGCGTGTTCCGATTCTTGTTGAGAAAGAGGGGGAGGGTGAAGTGTTGGGGCTACATGACCCTCTAAACGGAGGTTTTTCAGAGACTTCAAACAGAGAGATATGAGAAAAAAGAAAAATCGGCAAGAGACCACAGAAACCCACAAATGTGAGAATTTTCTCTGTTAAAAATCACGATAACCATTTTATTATCTTAGTTTAATGTCTTTTCAATGTATTATGGTCCTTTTATTCATAACAAGCACAAAAAATAAGCTAGTAGTTTGCTGACGTCTCGGTAGCTAGCTAGCGAAATTCAAACAAGAAGCTGGCGAATATCTGACTTCAGCTTCATATCACTGAAGAATTAGAGGTGGGCGAGAATAAATAATTGCCCCCCCCTTTGAAAATCATATGATGCCCTAAATGTAACTAAAGCCCAGCAGTGAGGAGCTGAACTTTACCCTCCTCTGCTGTCACTGCAGACTGGCAGGGTCGCCTACAGAGCAGCGCTAGTAGCTGTTAATGAAGTAATGCTCTGTTTATTTGCGGGTCCCATTTCAGAGGGGAAGATTTCAACCACCACCCCTTGTAACTCAGTTCCAAGGGGCAAGGTGACCCTCAAAAACAAGGGGTAGGGGTAAGAATGAGAAAAGGGATCGGGCCTTAGTGTCACGATAAACGGACCAATAGAAATGCTCCAACACTGCTTGGAATAAAACCTCTTTACACTGACTTACATAAAAAGTTACCATTTTGGAATTAATGGAATGCAGATTGTGAAATGAACCGGCTTTCAGTGAGTTCAACAATTTTTAGCTGTGGAACAGCATTTAATTACAAATAGTTTTGTCTGCCACATATTGCATTTACATCCATGCTTTGCGTGCCAGCTGACCATTTACATCAACAGCACTTCTCCTTTCTGCTGACGTGCCAAAGCAGCCTTGGTGTTCTGTTCCATTTTGCATTATGTAATATGTACGAGGAGGACCGTCTTTACAGGAGAGCACTACCGAGGATCCACCTTTCTCAGCTGCAGCCAAGCTTTTTAGAGCGCAGTTTAAGTGTGTTAAGCATGTGAAAAGGCAGAGGTGAGTAAAGTGCTGTTACTGAGGTTCTCACCTTCCAGCATGCGAGGGCTGGGCTCAAACACCGGAGCCGTACAAAAGCCTCCAAAGCCCGCTGCAGACTCCACGGCTGCCTCTGCTGGAGACACAGACAAATTATACAATGCAAATAGACATGCCCTCCCACAAAAACAAACCAGGTGGCTGTTTTAGGTGGCTGCAGCCTCTTTTGTGACATTAATTCCTTAAAGGAGCAGTCCAAGACATCCAGTTAAAACTATTTTTAATTGTATGATACAGTGATGAAATTCCGTATGCTTTCATGGGGCACAGAATGAGAGCAAAATTGCTTCTAGACACGTTGATATCTCACTAAAGCAGCGACACAACATTCACATACAACTGTGTTACAATATCTGTCTCACATTAGGACCTGATATATAACAGAACGTGTTGTCTGCTAATTGGCCTGGGACTAATTTACTGCTCTGAGCTTGTCTGAAAGTGGTGGGTAGCGATTAGGAACGGGAACTGCTGCAAACCCTAAAATACTGGATTCTTTTGCCATATTTAAAGATTTGTGATATGCTAAGTATTATAATACACTGTGATTTGTTACTTTTGATTCCACATTAATCTTCCAGAAGAAAACTGTTTTATTAAATATTTTTTCACTTCAGAATTTTTATTTAAGCAAAACAGAACTGTATTACTGTGATGTCAATACATTTTTTATTAGAATCGCTGTTTCCTAAATTGCTAATTGCATGTTTGAGGAAAAAACCTTTGGCTAGTTGTGTAAACCTGGACCCTGACCACTCGAAGTTAGGATGCTGACGTACACACACACACACACACACACACACACACACACCTGTGCTGCAGCGCCTCTGGAGCCAGCAGTGTGTGAGCTGGAGTGCAAGAGAGGCGTTATATCGCTGGTGTAGCCCAGCCAGACCCAGCTTCACCGGCTCCACACCTGGACTCTGATACTGACCCAACTCAGGACACACAGACAGGGAGCACTGCAGACACACAGAGTGAGGTATTACAAAACAGTTATGCTGTGAGTTATCATACATCTAACATATGGCTACATATACACATCTCCACCACATACTGAAAAATCTGATATTATATTTAGTTGTTGAGGCTCTTGTGTAATTCCCTATTAAATACGTGTTTCTGCATTTTTCCTGAAAACTTAACAGCCGTTTTGACTGTAAATTCGATGAATGAAGGAGGGCCTTTGACTATTGCACAGCACTGTAGGTGTATTCGCCTCCTTCTACCCCATTCGTCACTGGTCAGTTTCTGACCACGGAACTGGTGTTGCCCACATACTGGCTGGCTGGTGGACCATTATCAGCACAGTAGTGACACTGCAGCACTTTGGTCAGACACTGACAACTGATGAAGGGCTAGAGGATGGAGAACACAAACTGTGGCCTGATCCCATTCCTTATTTTTACCCCTACCCCTTGTCACCCTAATCTCTTGGAACTGAGTTATAAGGGGTAGTGGTTGAAATCTTCCCCTACAGCATTAGACCACCCTCCAAAACATAACAAAGGAAAACTTCATTATCAGGATATTAGCGCTGCTCTGTAGGCGACCCTGCCAGTCTGCAGTGACAGCAGAGGAGGGTAAAGTTCAGCTCCTCACTGCTGGGCTTTAGTTACATTTAGGGCATCACATGATCTTCAAAGAGGGGGGCAATTATTTATTATCACCCACCCCTAATTCTTCAGTGATATGAGGCTACTTGACAGCTTCTTGATCTAATTTTCCTGTTCCCCCATTTAAGGTGGAACAGGTAATTTAGCTAACTAGTGACCAAGACATCAGCAAACTACTAGCGATTCTTTATGCTTGTTCTGAAGAAAAGCACCATAATACACTGAAACAACATTAAACTAAGACAATACAGTGGTTACTGTAATTTTTTAACAGAAAATTCTCACATTTGTGGATTTCTTGGTCTCTTGCTCTGCCATCTTGCCAGTTTTTTTTTCTCTGTTTGGAGTGTGACTCTGAAAAACCTCCGTTTGGAGGGGCCGTGTTGCCCCAACACTACGCCCTACCCCTCTATCTCAACAACAATCGGGACACCTTACCACTAGGCATGAACACACAAAACGCAGGGGTAAGGGCCAAGTGGTAGAGGCAAGGGGAGAAATGGGATTGGGCCTGTGCATCAACTCTAACCAGCAGGGTGGAGCTACAAAGGAGGGGTTTCTAATAAAGTGGCCGGGCTGTGTATTGGCTCCAGGGCAACTAACAAACCAGCCCTAAGTCTAACCTTAACATTAATGGGAAAGAGAAATGCTTCACTTGTCTCACCCCGATCTCCTCGGCTCTTTGCTGTAAGACTGTCATTGGTCCCTCTTGTTGCTTCACTGTGAATGCTGGAACCCCAGGCTGCACAGAAACATAGAGATCAGTGGTGCCACCCATCAGCCACCCCCAAAAACATCAATAAACACACTCTACCCCAAACAAAACATACCCACCTTAAATATCCCTCCTTTCTGCCAGGCAATCTTCTCTATCGTGTCCCCCAGGATGCTGGTGTGGTCAATCCCCAGCGAGGAAATACCGCACACCCACGGCCTCCTGCGCACACAAACAATAACTTTACATCACCAACTTTTACAGACAGAGATAAGATCTACAAACTTACACAATAACACCTGAAAACACGCCTGCTGTTACACCAGGAGGGCTGTCTGGACCGTCTCCAGCTGGTGGGTTCAAGGACAGCAGGGCTGTAAACTCTGTGTGTGTTCTTACTTCATAACATTCAGCTCTGTTTCAGCACAATCAGGTCACTTAAAGCATAAAGAGTTTTATACGGCATCATTTTTACGAGAATTTTATGAGCCAAAATATGTGATTAAGTAAATGGAGCACCATGATTGGTTAAAAAGGAGAGCGAGAATGAGCAGTTGATGGATGTGAGGTACTCTCACACGTGAACTCCAGGGACAGAGACAGAGTTAGACATGCTACACTGGAGCTCTGGGAAAGAGGACCGGGAAATTAAAGCAACAAAGCACAGAGAGAGAGAGAGAGAGAGAGAGAGAGAGACAGAGAGAGAGAGAGAGAGAGAGAATTAAGAGAGAATTAAAGCCCTATTGGAACTGTCTTAGTTTAATCTGGCAAAGTGCTGAATTTTATTACCCCATTTCACCCCGAGATGCACTACAGTCCCCAGCACGCACTGCAACATAGTGTGCGTTTTAACCCCCATCCCCCAACAACAATCTGTGGGCCAGCAGTTACACAAAAAGAAAGAGATGCCCAGTGTCGAGTTCAAACAAATAACCAGTTAAAAAATACCTAAAACAATTTATTGAATTAATTAATTAATTTAATTAGTATGGCCCTTTTAGTGGTTGAGTGTGACACCCCTGCTCTAGAATGCTGTCAGACAAGGCTAACAGCTAAAATTGGGCTTGATTTGACCCAACTGCTTTATTCTCAAGTTTAAGACCACTGAAATCCACAATATTTGCGGTGCTGGCCGAATGACGAGGAGAAGGAAAAGGACACTGAAATATCTCAAAAATATCCACATTTTCTGTCTTGTTGGGCATCATTTTCTTAATGTTTACTTTTATGGCACTTCGGCCAGTCACTGAGAGCTAAGATTATGACCATTTTCATTATGGGTGTCCAGTGTTGGGTTTAGGGGTCTATTTTTGGACGCAAATACTGACGTAAACACAGTGCGATGAAGTTTCGATCTGGGCTATTTGGGGTAATGTAAGGAAATGACACAGAACATATGAATCAGCCTCTCAAATCACAGACAGATTACATTACCCTCTGGTGAAACTAATCCAGCTCCAATAGGGCTTAACTCATAACCCTAGGGCAATTCTGCACAACTGTTTTTGTATTCTGGCAAATTACGAAGTATTTACATGTGACAGTCACACATGCTGTGTGTTACTGCCAGGAGACTCTTGGCTGCTCAGACGTCACTATTTGACATGTTAATGCAAAAAGGCAATTTTGATGTTTTCATGAATTTGGCTGTTTTTTTGATGAATAACTTATTTGACACCAACTGAACTGTTTGAATTTGTGCTCATGTAGACTTTCAATTGAACATGAAAGATTTTCTAGTTTATGTATTACTGTCTAGAATTTGTTAATATAATCTGAGGCACTGGCGCTCTGCTGCAGCAGTAACAGGTCAGAGTTCACAGCTCACTGTGTCAGAGTCCATAACCTGATCCTGCCCTCCCTCCTCTGAAACCAAAACAAATACCATGTGCTGACAGCATGCCCTCCGCTCGTGCTTCAGACTTGCCTCAGTTTATTGCCCTCGCTCAACAGTGGTTTTAATTCAAAATCAGACAAAACGTTTTCAGGAACTTTAAGAACATTAACAACAACAACAACAACAACAACAGCAGCAGCAGCAGTGCAAAGAAAGAGTATGTATGCTCTTAGGTGTAAATCCCTTTGTTCTTCTGAACTTTGACGAATCATAGTGCTCTGGTTTACTCTCTGCACTCACTCAAAGACACAGAAACCTCAACAAATAAACTTTCTGCCAGATTTTCAGACTTTGACAGATGTTCAGTCTTAGAAGTTGGCTGCATTTTCTGCTTCTCACTCAATTACAAATTTAATCATTCCATAAAACCTTCCTCCATAATTCACATGTCCAGTTCTAATGTTCTTAGTGCAAATGTTTGTATTTTTGTCCGTCTCCTTTTCTCAGTGAGGTTCTTCTTGACAGCTACACATCCTTTCAGACCCACAGCGCTGAGTCGTCTTCTCACAGTGGAAGGATGGACAGAAACACCTGTGGATGTTTTCAGATCTGAAGCAGCTTGATTTTCTCCTCTCTCTCAGAGATGAAAGCTTTAAGTGCTGTTTATCTGATGGGGGCAGGTTTGGTGTCCACCAGGTCTTCCGGGTGGTTGTTAGGAGTGACATTTTCTCTGTCGCATGTGTCAGGATCCAGTCCTCGCAGGCCAAAACACTGCAGACTTCAATGCACTGCCTCATCAAACACACCTCATTCAGCTCATCGGCTAATTAGCAAGGCCTTCATTAATTGAATTCAAAGCATTAAATGAGGGTAAATTCTAATATCTGCAGCACTTTGGCCAGGAAGGTCCCCAGTTTGACATGCTTGCTTAAAATCATTCTTAGAACTTTTGGAAATGAATGTTTTTTTTTCTCATTTATTGTCCTTTGACTTTCTATTTTCTTATGTAAGTGAACTATCTTGTATCTAATCTCCTCAAAATATCTTTAACTTGTAACCTGATTTGAATGGAAATCAAATAAACGGTGGTCTCTGATACTGTGTGTAATTCTCCTCAGACACTGTAAAAACAGCAGCAGAGATGGAGGGAAATTGCCAAACAGCTTATTAATGCCTTATAGCAATCCTAGAAATCTAACAATTCATAGTGAACAGTGCAAAGGAATGAAACATTACATGTAAATGTTAATGAACATTTGTGAAGCTGTTTAAAATGAAACAATCTAGTTCTCTATCAATTCTCTTTGGCAATATAGATGGTTATTGTCTTGTAAGTGTTGGCGTCAGATTATTTTACCATCATCTGATGTAACTATATCACTCTTATCACCCAGACCTTACCTGATTATATTGGTGCAGTCGTAGGCTCCACCTATCCCCACTTCAATGACGGCAACATCCACCTACAATACACAGACAGAGTAGATAAAGTTAAAGGTTATCTTTCCATGTAGTGGAAGCTAAAGGTCACCTGAGGTCTTTGGGAGCTGTAATCTCCAAGTCAATGACCGGAGTTACAAACCAGGGTTAAAAGTAAAACTGAGCAGAAACTAAAGAACCAAAAAGAGCATCACAATCTAGCTTGTAACAAAAATACAGTTGCGCAATGGATCGTTTGTTAATGGCTATCACGATATTGGCCTTTGCAGGGCTGAAATCACAGAGTCTGGAAAGCACAACCGAGCCCTCTAACACACAAAGGGGGCTACAATGCATTGTGACATTTATTCAGTGCTGAACAGTGACAATGTGCACTGTGGAGATGTGAAAAAGCATCAGTGAGATGGACGTTATATTAATTATGACCCTGAAAGCAAATGCATTGTTTAGCAACAAAACGACTTGAGAAATTCACCAAAGCTGATGCTGAAATTACCGTTCCACCTTAAATGGTGCAGAAGTTACATTCAGGGGCCTAGACAAGTGCTGCTCCAAATTCAGCCGTGTAGAAATCAAAATTTAGCCCCATTTCTGGCAGGTCAGTGTTAGTAAGCAATACTGACATACATTTATACACATGTGGTTTAGCTTAGTTTTTACTATTTTGCACAACAAAAATATTTCACACTTACTTTGGCTGTTAAAATGGTTCTTGGTAAAAAGTGAAGGGACATGCCAATAATAAGCCACTGTTAACCTAATAAGAACCAAAAATAGGTTTACTTAAGCATCTAAGATGTTTTTATCAAACACACACACACACGTGTGCACACACACACAGATATAGCAAAACTGTCAGAAAATTTTATTTCATCATATAATTTCATGTTCATTAGTAAACTGGGCAACAACATGGATGCAGTCATGTTTCTTCAAATTTTGTTCAAAATATCATGAGAACTTTAAAATACTGAATATTGAACTCGTTATCGAGAATCGAATCATGGGCCAAAAGTATCATTACACCTCTTCACAGTGCTTTTACTTTGTAGTGACTTCAAAACCTAAACTCGATGCCAGAATTTTCACCCTTTGCTCTACTACAGTTTCCATTCTTAATTTCAAAGTTCAGTCTTAGAAGTTGGCTGCATTTTCTGCTTCTCACTATTGAATATTGAACTCAGTACCGAGAATCGAATCGTGAGCCGAAAGCACTGTTACACCCCTACCAATCACAGTGCTTTTAGTTTGTAGTGATTAATCACAGCTCCAGATTAGTTTCTGTGGGTGTTGGAATTAATCCAGGAGTTCATGTAATCCAACAGAATTTCTTTTAAATATATTACTACTCATTGCAATGTGTCTTCTAAAATAATCACAGCACTAGTATTTCATCCATATCATGCCGCAGAAATCCATGGCACATATCCCAGATTGGAGGCATTCACAATATATCACTGCTGCCGGAAGAAAATCTCTTGCCTCCATTTTTGTTGTTTTTCAGTTTTTGACATAATTCGAAAATGCCTGTTCCTCTTTACATTGTGTGTAAATTTCATGATGAATGGACCAAAAGAAACGGCACAAAATGACTTAGGAAAAACTCTGGTTCCATTGACTTACTTACATATACTCAATATATACTCAAAATGTCCCCCCCAACGCTAATCAAACACATTTGGCTCAGAATCGCACTCAGAATTGGGAGACACTTGGGATTTAGCACCAGCTGGGACAAAATACTAACTCAGCATCAGACGTGGCTTTTTATACTGGAAACACTGGCACTCGTACACTTGGTACGCAATGGGTTCCTATTACTTGGTAAGAAGCCAGCATCCCTACAAGGCTGTGCTGTGATTATCAGTGAGTGAGTCGGGGGTTGAGTTTCGTCTGGATGGATCAGGGGATCGTGTGTATCGTGCGGACACCAGAGACCCAACCTGGCCCCCGGCCCACTCACACACACACTAAAAGGCCTGCACAGCCACAAGGCATCATGGGAAAGGCACGCCAGGAATGCGGCTCTAAAGTCAGACGTTGCTGCAGGACTCTAATGCCATTCTAAAGGCCAGTCACACTTCGTTTCAAAGGGAATTCACACAGTGAGCTTTTCTGGGTCACATATGTCTGAAACAAATAAAATTCAAGGACAAAATTCAGTTCAACTTTGACATGCAAATTTGATTCCTCAACCAACAGTGCTACTCTTTTGGCTACGTTACACATAAAAGGGCAGAGCTTTAGAGGAAATGCTTCTTTACCAGTGTCTAAACACAAACCTTTAAACATTCCTTCATTACTGACTATAAATAAACAAATGAGAGTGATGATCCACAGTCAGTCAGAACTATTATCTTAGCCAGTCTGATAACTGTGATGTTAGCTCTATGGCTAACTGCAGCTGCACATAAGTCACCCCACTGCCACCAGCTACACGTTCATGCTACAGATCAATGTGCAGCACTGCACTCTTGCAAGTATGGAATTAAGCAGTAGAACACAGAGAGAGTGTGTTATCGTGAAATAACATCCCAGCTGTGATTTGGTCGCCGTAGATCATCACAGCTGTGATGTTATAGTGATAACACACTCCTCGAGTGTTCTACTGCTTTAATACAACAGTTAAATAAATACAGTAATAAATTAATAAACTGGGCCATGAACGCGGCGTTTAATATGTTTTAATGTTCGCAGCTCCTTCACCAAATTATAGTTCCTTAACGAGCAGCTCGTTGCTACGTCAGAGTAACGAGCTCCGCCCACTCGCTGCACAGCCGGCAGTTCGTTCTCCAGCTCCACACAGACCAACTGACCGTTTGGGAATTTAGTGTCGTCTCATCTTCAGAGTCTGACCAAATCGGCTGTCGGTCAAATGTGATCTTAAAAGTGTCCGTTTTCTGTTTGTGGCAAAGTAAGAAGTAAAAACGTTCAAATGGCTCCTACAGCCGTCAAAGTCGTTGCTTAGCAACGGCGTCTCAGCGGAGTGATACAGTGTTTGTGAAAAAAGCCTGTGATGCAAAATAACAGCACGTTTAGAACGCCTCTCAACCAATCAGCTTGCCTGGCCGGAACTAACTGTTGTATAATTAGTTGATATAATTACGTTCACTTCGTACTGTCACTGTTTATGGTTAGCAAGTTAACTAGCTTGCTAACGGCACCAATATAGAGGACTTTTCATTTTGGTGCCAATCTACTGCGATTCTTGCTGTGTCCAGTGGTGGCACTTTACACCGCTCCAGCCGACGCTTGCCATTGCTCATAGCGTTCTTAGGCTTGTGTGCAGCTGCTCAGCCGAGGAAACTCCTTTCATGAAGCTCTCGACACACAGCTCTTGTGCTGATGCTGCTTCCAGAGGCAGTTTGGAGCTCTGTAATGAGGGATGCAGCAGAGGATGGACGATTTGTATGTGTGTGAGTTTGTGTTTTCTACAGCTTTGTGACTGAGCTGGTTTTGCTTCTAAACACTTCCATCTCACAGTAATGGCACTTACAGTTGTCTAGGGCAGATCTAGCAGGGCAGAAATTTCACTGGCTTGTGGCAAAGGTGGCATCTTATGACAGCGCCACATTTAAAGTCACTGAGATTTTCACCGTGACCTGTCCTGCTGCCAACGTTTATCCATGGAGACTGCATGGCTATGTGTTTGATAGCCTGTTAGCAAAGGATGTGGCTGAAACACCTGAACTCAATATTTAGAAGGGGTGTCCACATACCCTTGGTCGTATGGTGTACATGTGAGCATGGCAAAAGTTTGACGTTAATTTATATTTATATTTATTTATATTTAGTAATATGTGAGAAACTGTCTATATGACATGTAAAAATGCCTGCATTCCTAAAATATATTTAAAAAACAACACTTTCCTGTCTCAAATACAAAGCATCAAACAGCACTTTGTTCATGTAATGACCCCAGTGCGCATCTTCACAGAAGAACAAATTAAACCTTTAGAGGTTCAGGACCAGCAACGTCATACCAGCAAGGTGGGGAACAAGAATATCAAACAGGTGACATCATACAGGTGACGTGGACGGTGATGCCACTCACCTTCTCCTGCAGGAAGACGTGGAAGGCGAGGATGGTCAGGAAGCGGAAATATGCTGGCATGGTGCCGCCGTGGGTCTCCTAAAAGTGAAGGGTCAACAAGGGTCACGAGTCTTATGTTCAACGTTAATCTTCATGCATTTATCAACCATGTCTCACCAATTTAGGCAGCTTCTTTACAGGCTCTGTGTGAATGTGTGCGTGAGTGAAAGCACAATGCTCTCTCTCCCTCACATGTCCAGCATGCTTCTGTCATTAAGACACCAGAGGGCTCCTATTTTCTGCTCGATTAAAGCTAACAGTAATCGTGACACAAGCCGCATGCTGAGCACGAGGAGTGGACGCCAGGCAGGGTGAGGGGCTGACCTCACCAAAATAGCTGTGTGTGAGCACATTTCAGCCAACACTACAGAAACATGAGGAATTACTTTAATCATTGACATTGTGTATCTCTTGGTGGCCAGATAAAATGCAGAGCCTGTGGACCGACTGCTTTTTCCCCCTTTTAACAAACTACTACAGCAGTAGAATTTGCACACATTCACAATTATTCACCCTTAATAACAACCACTTTTCACCCTCCTCCGCAAGATTCAGTGCCTGTTCAGACACAGAATGAATAGCATTAAATCAGATTTTGTCAGAACCGTAACATTAATGTTACCACAGCAAGTCTTTCTAGTGTTTCTTCATAACTGGCTGTGATGGCGTAGTTATTAAAGTACAGCTTTACTGTCAGTGGCTTTGTTGACAACAAAGAAAAGAATCAAATCACAACCACTAGAATATTCAAAATTAAGTGGAAGACAGAATTTGCATACAATATATATACAGTCTCACATCTTTAACTGAATAACTGCATTCAAATGTGTCAAAATGTGCATATTTCACTAAGAGCCTCCATTTTCATATAAAATGCCTCTGTATTTCAGGCAGCGAGGGCCAGAACCCACCTTGGTCTCGTCCAGTCGGTTGTAAACCTGCCAAAAGTACTTGGTGAACAGGTCTTTCCCGATCGGACGCCCATTTATACGGATCCTCTCTCTCACCTGAACCAGGTGTGGAGAGCTGAAACAGATCAGAGGGGAAAAAGGTGGAGTCAAAGAACCACAGCTTCAGTACTAGACATGGACATATTCAGCATTATTTGAGACTCAAAAATTCTAATTTATAATAGATAATAATGTAACACAGTCGTGTGCAAAAGTTTGGGCGCCCTGGTTAAATTCCCATTTCCATTCTCTAACTATTCTAACCCTTGACTTCCCCAGCCTTACTATTATCACAGAATATTATCATGTGATTACAGGTGTTATAATGCAGGGGTGCCCAAACATTTTCTCTCTGGTGCCCAAAGTACAATGTTTGTGTTCGCCTGAGGGCTAAAAAGACAAAGCTGTATGTAAATAAAGAGGGCAGGTTTTTAAATAGAGTTTAAAAATTTTAAAAAGAAAGATTTTGTTACTGAAATACTTCAAAAAACACAATTTAAAAATAAAATTAAGAACAAATTAAGTCTCTATAAAAATACGCTCTCATTGGGTGAGGGCAACTTCCTACCGAGACTTACTTTACATCATGTTACACTTTGCGAGCAATGCTGTGCCACTGTAAGGCTAGATTTGAGACAGAATCACATCGGATTCACCTTTATTTCAACTCTGATATCCAAGCCAGCATTTTCTGCTGACACTGACCTGATACAGACACTCATTATCTGGTCAGTGCCGTTCGCAGACACGGCTGTTTCACTTAACGCCAGACGCAATCTCAGCCGCACATTATCTGCAGTTTTACACACAGCCAGTCGAAAACTTTCAAAAAGTTACAAGACATTTAATTCCTACGCCTTATCGGAATACCGCATTAAGTAAACGCATACTAACAGGAGTCTGAATTGCCATATCTTCAAAGAATCACACCCTTGTATAACATATTAACAATAATAGGAAGAATGGAAATAACTAAAGTAATGATTCACAAAATTCAGAACTTAATCTGTTACAGCCATGTCTTGATTCTAAGGATTCATGATGGCATCGGCATCAGCTGATATCTGCTATTTACTATATTTACTAAAAACATATGCATCAATGATCATATTGGGCCAATATGTCAAACTGATATTTGATGTATTTACTGAACTCCAGATGAGCCGAAGGTTTAGCTGACGCACCAAAACATCTGCGTTGTGTAACTCTCTACAAAATCAAATATGACATTTTTAATCCAGCCATTTTCCTACTCCATTGAAAATACTGGTTATTGGCATTGGCCCATAATTGCTGTATGAGTGCCTCTCTACTTTATACATTTTCTGATGTATAAAAACACAGAGTAAAAGAACAGAGTATAAAAGTAAGGAGTGGCTGAAAACTTACGTTTATGTGTTAGCGTTTTGCGTTTCAAATGATTAGAGCTATCAACATTACAAAAGTACCCAAAGCTAACACACTGCAATACAATTCAACGTAATATAATGTGTGGTAACGTTACACAGCTGGTTTTAACACAACAGCCTGAACTAATGGTTATGCAAGATGATTAATCATTTGCGAGGGGCAATACAATATGTGAGAGCCCACCACCTCCATTCTAAATAAAGTGATGGCAAATAAATACTGTGTGTATGTTGGAAAAGCTCACTGGAACATTGTTATTTTCAAGCATTACTGACAACATAGAGGCTAACCCTGCTGAAATGTTTACGTTAGTGATTATCCAGCAGAGCAAAGTCCAGCAAAACACACACACACACACACACACACACACACACCCAGGGTTACATTGCCCTGAACCTCTACAAGCTCAACCATCCAGAATGAATGTCTTTAAAAACGAACTCATCAGAGAGTGAAAAAAGGGCTTATGAAGCTCTGGAAAAAAAAATGGAATCTATAACTATGACAGTGTAAACATATTTGCATTGTCGGCTTAGGCGCTGCTTATAGGTGCCTATAGGGGGCGCCTGAAGCTTTGTCCCTCCCTCTGCAGGACAGGATTAGATTGAAAATAAGGGTATACTGTTTGTCATTCCCACTGGCTACTGGAACCAAAGCGATGACACTGAAGAAGTGAAACGCAAGATTTCATTAACTCATGCAAACTGAAATCCAATGAAAATCTACAGAATGTGGTTTTATGAGCCGATGTAGCCTCGTTTGAGTGAGCCAAGAGTTCACAGAGAAATTCTTCAAGTCTCAAGAGTTTAACGCATTTCACCAAATCTCTCAATGAAGTATTCGACTTTTGGTAATTATACTAATAAAACGTGTAATAGGCGCGGATGTCAAAGTACGATGACACGTCACAGTATGCAAATCAGTCAAACAACTTTACCGCCCCCGATGACGCTCTACTTGTGCCGCGCTCATAAATATGAAAGCATAGGAGCCGAGAGCGAGGAGATAACCAGACTCACGCGCTGAGCTAAACACCCCCAGCACCACCTCACAAGGCTGCGCTCTGCCAGCTGTCTGTACCAAATACTGTAAATAACCCAGTTAATCTGAGCTTAGTTGGTAATAAAGACGTTATGATTAGCACATTTTTGATAATGTTCAACGTATGATTAGGTAACCTTAAAGAGTCTCCATTATGCTGCCGGTGTTGCATCCGATTCATGTTTTTGCGCCGCACTCACTGAACAGAAATCAACAGCGAGCAACGCTGGAACTACAGAAGGTGAAACGGTTCAGGAAAGGTTAACATTAAATTGTTACCGACTGTGCCAACCTTTCGTCTGTACAGCCTTTCTTGAACTTTTTTTCCTGCTTTCCGTGGTTCCAGAGTTGCTTATTGATGATTTCTGTTCAGAGAGTCGCGCCCGAGGGTTTGGTTTATACAGGGGAGCGTAAATTCGAGGGGGGACTCTTCGGCGGTTTGAGTCAGTGGCTCATACTGTTGATACTGCCTGATCAGCAACACCTTCCTTCGTCGAAGAGGAAGATGGAGATGGAGATACAGAAAAATCGTCAACCTTGTAAGACTCACAGTTGCAAAAGTGCCGTTTGATTCTGTGACTCTCCATATTTTCTGGTAGCTAACGTACACTGGCTCTAAAAACACAGCAGCCCAGCCACCCGGTTTCCCTCACATCCCCACCTCCAAACCGTAGATCACTGCAGTGCCCCTCCCAGCGTGCCCCTCCTATTTTTGAGCATTTTTCAAAGTTTCACCACACTCTCCTCTGTCTGGTACCTGTAAAATCCAGTGCGAAAGCCGTAGTTCCTCAGAATCTGCTCGGTGAAGGCACACGTGGAACCCTGGGAAGAAAGTTATTCAAGCAAAGTAACGTCACGACTGATCTGTACTGCATGATAATTATTTGTTCTGTCAAACAACTAAGTAATTCATTTCTCTATCCAGAGAAATTCCCCCCCCCACACACACAGTTTACCTTTCCCTTGGTTCCAGTGACATGTATGATGTTGAGATGATCGAGCTCTTCCACCTGAAGGCAGACAAAAGCATTTAGACCTCATATCGGGTTAAACCAGGAATGTGTGTGTACTGAGTGGGTGTCTGAGAGGAAAAACACAGATGTAGATTTGTATGTGTGCATTTTGGTAAAATGACGCCGCTCGGTCGCTTAACCCAATATTAGCAGTCAGGCTTTTAAACCAGAGGTCTGCACTCCTGTGGATTCCCACAGAACCTGCCACAATATCTGGCGGCGCGGGACTAATTTTCAGTGTTGCACGTGGGAGCGGGCGGGAAATCAGACCCCTACAGGTGGGAGCAGGATGAAGCATGCATTAAGACCCCTAAGACCCCTGAGCCCCACCCCTATCTGCCCGCTTTGTTCTGATAGGCTGTACCCAAATGCCTAATTTTGATCAATGACAGAGGTTTCCACAAAATATGGTACGTGATAGAGCTTCAGAAGAGACAGGAGTGTGTACAGTTGTTTTGAACATTAACTTTTTCAGATTTTTACAGTGCTGTATTTAAATCATTACACGTTTATTTAGTTGGAGAGCTACTTTCAGCTTTGAAACAAAGGAGAGCAAAAAAGGCCACGAATTTGAGGAAATCATCTTGAAACTAGAAGAGATTGTGGCTTCAAAAAGCTACACAGTCTTTGCAATAAGGAACTGGTTTGGTTTTTACTTTCTGCATAGTTCAAAATACTTTTCAGGCTTAACTGAGCATAAAGGAAACACATTATAATTATGGATTAGGGCTGAACGATAAATCAAATTTTTATCGTTGTTGTGATCTGAGTTTCCATGATAAACATGCCATTAAGGGCTGTGATGACAGAACAGATCCAATTAACTCACCTGCATTGCTAACATGACATAATTCGACTGGCAGGAAGGCAGTACTAGAAGCCCAACAGCAAGCCCACATAGAGAGTGTGAAACTTCTCAATTCAGCTAAATGGCCAGTTATAAACTGGCCTGTAATAATTCATTGACTTTATGGTAAACATGTATGACACAGTAATGCTACTGTCACAACAAACGTGCATCACCATAAGGAACTTTTGTAAGGAATTTAGCCTATCCTGAAAATAAAATACACATATTTATTCGTGTTTGTAGCCTGAACTGAACTGGGAATCCTGTTTTTAGACTGAAACTCATGGAACTCACTCCCATTTAGCAGGCTACAAATCTCCACAAGGGGGCGCTATTAGCAGTCACATAGTTTGTGATGCTTCATAAGAGCAGCACTTCACATTGTTGCACCAAAATCTGCTTGCAGTTCTGATGCAAATAGCTGTTAGTATTTCATTACTTTTATTTTGCACAGTGGTGAATCATGCTTCTGTAGATTTGTACTATTTGTAAGTGAGATTATTTAAATTTTTATTGTCATCTTGATACCCAATAACTTTATCGAACATTGCAGTTCATGCCCTGTCAAGGATATCAATACTGAATGATTTAAAATATACTGTGATAGTATTTTTAGAGGTATCAGACAGTCCTGTGTTCCTGTATTGTTGAGTTTATGATCAGTGTTCTGCTGTGATGGTGTTAGTGAGTTGAATACAGGGCTGTGAGACTGATGTAATACCGTGAGGCCTGCGCGCTGCAGGAATCCCCTCATAGCCTGCAGCTGGATCTCTGGGTGTCCGCGCTCTCGGCGCACCTGATCCAGCGCGCTGGCGTTGGTCTGCAGGGTGTTCAGGGTACACACCGCATCCTGCAAGGAAAACACCCAGAAACATTCAGAGCTACAGACAGTCCTCAGAAACCTGCTGCTATCACTGCAATCACAGTAGGGATGGGTGTCATCAGCACTATTACACTTATCGGTACTGCTTATTGATCTGGTATTTTAAGGTTACTCATTCATTAACCAAGAAATTGACATTTCTTGTGGAGTCCCACAAGGTTCAGTCTTAGGGCCTTTGCTTTTCTCTTTCTACATCACCTCTCTTACTGCTTCCTTTTATTATTTAATCTTTCACTACCTTCCAAAGGAAAGGGGGGCACATTGCAAAATCACCGGGAGGAGTGTGGCTGTGTTCAGCCTTTAGCAAAGATTATCTGGGTGTGACATGTTTTGTCATAGTCTAATATAACAGCCCTCCCAAATTGTGGTGTTCCCATAAATTCCCATCTCTAAAACGCGGATAGCAGAACTGCTCATGTTGGGCTTCCACTTTTAACTATTTTTTAAATGAATGGTGTATCAGAGGCTCTATCACATATACACAGGATCAGGAGTGATTACAATCAAGGACTGATTAAAACAATACTGAACACAGTTCAGGTTTGATTCGACTGAATTAAATCCTGATTAAAAGTATGTAAATTTTTCCACCATTTCTGTACAGTTCAATGGTTTGAGAGTGATTCAGAGTGATTTAAAGTCAAATGCTCTATGGACATCTCTAAAGTAACTAACCAACTCTGATTTCTTTACAGTGGTGGTGATAGGAACCAGGAATCCTGATGTCTACAACACAAATATAGCCATCTCATTTACTATCCAAGACCACCAGTGAACCTACAGGTGTCTTCTGAGCTTTCATAAGGAATGTTGATGATGATGTAATAGTGATAATAGTGCACCTGTGATGTAGCTTTTAGAGGTACTAAACTCTCCAGACGTCTGGTTCCTATCACCACCACTGTGAACATTTCTGACTCAGTAAGGACGGAGAATTTCACACCAAACCACTATAAATGACTTCGCTTACATTACAACTACTTAATTATACAGAAATTTTAAAAAAACTGGTTGAATTCCCCTTTAAAAATAAAGGACCAGCTTACCACACACAGATTAAACCTACGTTTTTGGCCCTGCAATTTAGCCCAGTAGTACACTTATTCCGCATCCAGGAAACAGACAGAAAGGCTTTTTTTTATGTGCCAGATAATCACGCTAACAGCAGAGTAAACCATCCACCAGAGAGGACTTTGGCTACGTTCACAACTCCTAATGTAGGTAGGCTCGACCACACTAAGTCAAAACGGCCCGATTCACTTCTCTAGACTTGAACCTGCACCTACAGTCTTGACAAAAGTCCAGATCTACTGAAAGAGTTGATTCTACACTGTAAGGGTTAATTCAGCACTGTGGAGTTTCTCTGAACAGTTACAGAGGTGACCTGGACAGGCAAAACTAGGTGTGCTCGGTCACTGCTGTTACATGTGAATTCTGGGTCAAACACAGCAGTGAGAGCGACATCACCTTAGATCAACATGCTTATTCCCAGCTGCCTGTAAAGGCTTAATTTCAGTAGTTAAACCAGAATGAATAAGCAGATTAGACTAGGTACAAAGTAATTGAACAAATAAGTAATACACAATAGACAGTGACCAGCAGCGTCTACGACGAGCACAGCTATTACTCAGTAATCTTCTTGCCCAGAAAAAGTGACCTCAGTAAATTAGCCTTACATACGGCACTGCTGCTTGCTTATGTGACTTAAAAAAAATTCCATCAACTTTTAAGACGTAAACAGTTGTGAAATGCTCCGTTCGGGAGAAACTGACTGACTCAGTTGTGTTTACAGAGGTGGTGATAGGAACCAGGGGTCACCATGACTACAACACAGATATAGACATTTTATTTACTATCCAGAAACTGCAGTTTTTGTGTGTAATGTAGATAATACTGAAATGGCGACAAAAACTGTATATCGTAATTATGCTGTACAGAATATTTAGCACTGGCCTTTAAACTTAGTCTATCGATCAATACATTTTTGGATAAGAAAAAGATGATTTATCCTAGAACAAATAATAAAAGCTATAAAAATAAATAATTAACATAAATGTCATAAAAAGCATTAAACTGAACTTGCTGATACATGTAGACATTCTGTCTGAGCACTAATTTTGTTTTTGTGTACCTTGAAAATCATCGCTTCTTTTCATGTTTTGCCAGATACCTCACTTTAATATTGAACATGTAGAACACATTCAGGGTGTCTGTCATTATCATGTATAAAGAGACCTGTTCCACATATCAGTTCTGCTATCTGGAATGCAAAATATTCAAAGCTAAATATCTCAAAACTGCTCAGAACCCAGACAGAACCTTTCAATTCCAAGGAGAGGCCATTCATGGTGGAGGGATACATGCAGGGTGCTGTGAGGCAAAATAGCCCTCACGGAAAACTTAGTATTTCAGATTTTCCACTATTTTCCCATCATTATTGTTACATATAAACCCAGAAGACTCGTGTAGGTTCACTGGAGGTTTTGGATAGTAAATAAAATGTCTATATTTGTGTTGTAGTCATGGCGACCCCTGGTTCCTATCACCACCACTGTAAAGAGAGTCTGGACCATTTCACACCAAACCACTCACAGCTCACACACTGAACTATGCTGAAATTGTGGTAAATCGGTGGAGTTCCCCTTTAAAGTGACATAAGCATCAATAACATTATACGACTTAACGTTAATGACCTGAAGCGCGAGTTTAGTCAAAGACAGTACATTTTAAAACTAGCACTGGTGACTCGGTAAAGAATTTACGCAGTTTACGCAAAAACTGGCGCAACCCCAGCACTGTGTGAGATTCTTCATCTAGTACTTTTTTTTTTAACTCGCTCAACTTGTTTCTGTTGTGGGCACTGTTCCTGTTACTTCTACCTGAGTTCCCTTTGCTAAAAGTTTAATTTTTACCTCATTTTTTACCATCACACCTCATTTTTACCTCAGTTGTTGTCAATCTCAGTCTTACGTTAAGCGACTAAGCTAAGAGAACGGAGCTTTGTCAAACGAGCCCGCACGTGGCCACAGTTCGGAACCCCAACACTGGCTTTAGAAAGGGGGGGTGGTCAAAGAGTGAGAGCAGCAGAGCACCTGCTATTCACTCTTTATAAACTATTCAAAAATGTGCACTTTTGTAGTTTGACAGTCTAACAAAAAACTAAAACTACTTTCAGAACATCAAACTGTTTATAAACTCGACCCTGCTGCGGCTCCAGCTCCCCTAAACCCGGTTATTGGTATCTACCATCACTGCAGCTGCTTAAACGAGGCTGAAGTTCGCTCCCTGTTCTAACCGTCCCGTTCCACCTTAAACTGTGCAGAGGTTACGTTCTGGCGCCATAATGAAACGCCGCCGGCGTTGTGTGCGTGATAACCCCGTTCTCAGTACCTGGTACTCCATCCTCCGGTAGTGCGGCGCTGCTTTGGTGCTGGAGAGCCTCAGCAGCGGTGTCTCGGTCACGTCGGTCCACCGTCCAATGCGCGGGAAAGCGGCGAGCGCGGGCACGCGCCTACACGCGCGCACCGCCGCGCCGAGCAGCATAGTGACGCGGGAGCGCGCAGGAAGGAAGGCGAGACCAAATTTGGTGCGTTGTGCGTTGTGTGTGCTTAACGGGTGAGGGCGCCGTTAGTTCCGTTAGTTACTCCGCCACACACCTCCGCCAAACGGAGCCCGCATGACTCCGCGCGCTCCGTTTCTCCCGTGAAATGCAACACTTTGTTGTGTTAACGTCCACGGGCGCGCTCCCGCATGGATTCAGACAACACAGCTCCGTCTGCGGGTCTCGGTTACGTCCAGGAGCGCCGCGGTCTCTGATCAGAGGGGCTCCAGCACGAATATCTGCCCCCCTTTTCGGGTCCGGAGCACTGCACATGCAATACTGCGCGGATATGACGGGACTCGTGTCAGAGCTGTGTCTGATTCAGTGCGCGCCAGGAGCTCACGGGCAAGAACAATGGCGCCCTCTGCTGGTCAGGATCCGCAAATTTGAGGGAAACAGCACTTGATTGTTCTTCTTCTTTCTCTTCTATTGCTAGAACTGAGCTTTTAGTTCTACTCAATTTTTTTCTGTTATTTCGGCGAATGACTTATTTTTACTATAAAAGATTTTAGCTTTATTTTATTCTGTTGTTTCAATTAATTACTTTTTTCCTATGACTTAGACTTGAGCTTTATCGTTGTCTCCTATTTTCTTGAATGACTTTTATTTTGCTAGAACTAAACTGTTAGCTTTCTTTTTTCTGTTGTTTTGCTGACTTTTATTTTGGTAGAACAGAGTTTTTAGTTTTATTTTCTTCTGTTGTTTCATTTAATTACTTTTATTTTGCCAGAACTGAGCTTTTAGCTTTATTTTTTTCTGTTGTTTTATTGAATGACTTTTTGAATTAATGCATTAGTACATATACAAAAAATAAGTGGCAGCAACCATTTAGAGGAAATAACACAAAAATATAGACAATAAATATAAAAAAATTACCTCACAGTCTCATCCTCAGCCACAATCTCAGCCACAGCCACGCCGTACACAAGCAAAGCCAGAGACGTTACAAAGGAGAAGACGGTCCCCAGTTAGCAAAATTTGTCTGGTTCACTTGAGGGCCTCATCCTTGGGTTTGTTCAGCCCGGTGTGTAGCTGGGTCCACTGTGAGTAGAGCTAAAGGAAATGGCCCAAACCTGGTCCCAGTCTGGCCCAACTAAACTGTTGGCCCACAATATTCACACCAGAATTGTCCCACAAATGTAGAAAAAAGGAAAAACTGTATGAAGCTGTCCAGGATCTGGCCCTGTTCTGGCCCGCATGCCGAACATCTACCCCGTAGTCAATCAACACTCACATAGGAAAGCCAGAATCGGCCCAAAACTGTCTCAAATCTGGGTCACTACTTGATATATGAAATAGAAACACTCAACATGGCATCTGTTTACGGAGAAAGTCTTCCTTGCTGCATGGAAAGCATGCATTCTGCCCTGTGATGGACTGCTGACCTGTCCAGGGCCTTCTGCCCAATGAGCACTGGAATAGGCTTCCAGCTCCTCCCACAACTCAGGAGGATAATCAGCTTAGATGTGCAGGTTTATTTTTTAAATAATTACTGAAAAAGAGCTAAAAATGATCTACGTATTAATGAATTATACTTACCATTACTTAACCATGGTACTATACTGCTGATGTCAGAACAAAACCTCGCATCTCCAGCATGGTAACTTTACAGGAGAAGGAAAAAAACATACTTTACTTTTAATGTAAGTCAATGGAACTAGACGTCTTTCCAAGTCATTTTGGGTCATTTTTATTGGTCCATTCATCATGAAATTTACACACAATGTAAAGAGGAACAGGTATTTAATTATGTAAAAAACTGAAAAACAAAGTTGGAGATACGAGGTTTTGTTCAGACAGATAGACAGACTGACAGACAGACAGATAGAAAGATAGACAGATGGATAGATAGATAGATAGATAGATAGATAGATAGATAGATAGATAGATAGATAGATGGATAGATAGACAGACACAGATAGATAGATAGATAGACAGACAGACACGGATAGATAGACAGATAGATAGATAGATAGATAGATAGATAGATAGATAGATAGATAGATAGAGACAGACAGACACGGATAGATAGATAGACAGACAGATAGATAGATAGATAGATAGATAGATAGATAGATAGATAGATAGATAGATAGATAGATAGATTTATCAGTACTGTTATAACACATTTACTCCACTAGGAGGCAGCTGTGACAACTGTAGGCCAACCTGTCTTAAAATCCTACAGCTTCAGCGCCAGACGTGTCCTTCTGGTTCCTCACTCTGTTTTCATCAGTGCTGGGTGGGAGCCTAAAAGTTTCCATGCTTGAGTCCTGCTCTTTAAAACGGGCAGCCTGCCTCTGAGCTAGACTCGTCCACCCAGTTCAGACAGTCTTAATCAGGACATGCACTGTATGCACCTCTCTGCTATGAGTGGATTTTAAAATATGTTTTAGCCCAAAAGCACAACTCAAAATGATCATAAAACGGCGCCTCAGACAACCATTCAATGTAATAACTTTAGCTTTTAGAGGCATTAAAGGGAAAGGCCACCAACTTTCGAAAATTTTGGCACAATTTATTGGGGCACTGCAGAGAAACTTACAGGCTCAGATTTCTTTACAGTGGTGGTAATGATAGGAGCCAGGGGTCACCATGTCTACAACACAAATATAGACATTTTATTTACTATCAAAACCACCAGTGAACCTACACGAGTCTTCTGAGCTTTTATATAAATTATTAATGATGGTAATATCAAGATCCTAATGTGTGGACACGACTTAGTCAGGCATGGGAATGTGATTATGCCTTAATAAGTCGTGGCCATGACTTAATTATCTCATTTACCCGCCTTACTAAGTCATGGCCATGCATTATTTTTATGTATACAGGATGTCACCAGCGGGACTCCGTATAAAATAGTGCTAAGTCTGAAAATAATGGGGGACTTTTTTGCCTCACAACACCCTTCATGTATCCCTCCACCATAATTGTTTGTAAAAATATATTTTAGGCCAAAACTTTAACTCAAAACTATTATAAAGCAATGTCTTAGCCATTATAACTTTCTGTGAGGGAGCTTTTAGAGGTGGACGTCTGGTTCCTATAGCACGCTATAGCAGAGGGCTATAGCGTGCTATTGCTGCTATCACTTACAGGGCAGCGGAGGCTCCGCGTGGCTATTAGTGGTGGCTTAATGCTCCACACACGGCACTGGACGCTCTGCGGTGGGAAAGATCTGCAGACGGGCAGATGATCAAAGCAGCGGCTAAGAGCCGCCGAGCAGTGACGTCCGAGCCTGCGATGACATCTAGTGTATCTGATGTGATGAAGGCTCTTCGGGCCTCATTACACCTTTAAAGCGGCTCGTGTGACCAGATCACTGCTGAGCGGAGTGATGTGAAGAATGAGGACCTTCAGCTCTGGTTATCTTCACCACTCAGGACCCGGTCCAGTCCGGTCATTAAAGCCGGACCGTCTGAACACAAACACAGCGCTTATCTGAGCACGAGGATGAAGCACAGTGACATACCACCTGGCAGAGATTTGGGTTAAAGAGAGAGACAGTAGAGAAGGGGGATACAGAGGGAGAAGGAAAGAGAGAGAAAAGAATAAAATAGAAAGAAGCGGAGAGTGATAGACAGATGAAAGGGGTGAGAGAGAGAGGAAGAGAGAAAAGGGGTGAGAGAGGAAGAGAGAGAAAAGGGGTGAGAGAGAGGAAGAGAGAGAGAGAAAAGGGGTGAGAGTGAGGAAGAGAGAAAGGTGAGAAGAAAAGAGAAAAGGGGTGAGAGAGAGGAAGAGAGAGAAAAGGGGTGAGAATGAGGAAGAGAAAGGTGAGAAGAAAAGAGAAAAGGGGTGAGAGAGAGGAAAAGAGAGAGAGAGAAGGGGTGAGAGAGGAATAGAAAGAGAGAAAAGGGGTGAGAGAGGAAGAGAGAGAAAAGGGGTAAGAGAGGAAGAGAGAGAGAGAAGGGGTGAGAGAGGAAGAGACAGAAAAAGATAAGAGATGAGAGAGAAAAGGGGTGAGAGAGGAATAGAGAGAGAGAAGGGGTGAGAGAGGAAGAGACAGAAAAAGAAAAGATGAGAGAGGAAGAGAAAGAAAAAGAAAAGAGATGAGAGAGGAATAGAGAGAGAAAAGGGGTGAGAGAGGAAGAGAGAGAAAGAAGGGGTGAGAGAGGAAGAGACAGAAAAAAAAGAAAAGATGAGAGAGGAAGAGAAAGAAAAAGAAAAGAGATGAGAGACGAAGAGAAAGAAAAGGGGTGAGAGAGGGAATGGGAAAGAGGAGAGAAGAGAAAGCGAGAAAAGGTAAGATGGAGAGAAACAGAAGAGAGAAAGAGAAGAAAAACGAATAGATTATAAATAGAAGAAGAAAGAGAACAAGCTAGAAAAGAAAAGAAAAGAGAAAAGAAAAGAAGAGAAAGAGGAAAAGAGAATCTACTGGAACAGTAACTCTCACGTTCTCAAAAACAGATCTTTAAAAACTTGTTTTTAAGCTAAAAGCCTCCTGTGAATAAACCGTTAATCATCAGTGCTTATAACTTTAATCCTAAAGAACACAAACACCACCTGCCTCCGTCTGCCTCTGTCTGCCTCAGACCGCCTCCACACTGAACTCCTCCATCCTGCGTCCTGTTTAACAGTCACTGACGTCTGTACATCAGTTCAGAATCCAGTCTGCACTCGCGTTTCAGTCTTGCCTCTGGTTTTGCTTGACATATGAAAGATGTATCATTTACTCTCTGAGTAGCTGCATAATTTGGCCCAAAGTTTCAAACATCTTTCAAAATTCCCCAAATGAGGCCTCCAGTAAACAACCCTGTGAGTCCAGCACATCACAAAAAACAGCGCTCGACTGTTTCCTCCATCTGAGAAAGTGGAGTCCCACCCTTCTGAGAGGAGAAGAGAGAGAAAGCTCCTCACTGTCTTTGGCCACTATGGAAGAGTCTGAATGTAACAGCCTTTTCTTCAGCACTGTGATGTATTTGTGAGTGAACTACAGTATCAGGGAGCTCGCTGAGCGTTTGCTCTCCATGATAAGTGGAGGCGGTGGGAGAATTTAGTCTTTTAAATGATATGATTTGACGAGTCATGCTTAATATGACCATAAACATAAACTAAAAAGGTCAATTTTGATTTGTTGAACTGATTTTCCGTGAAATTTCTCCATAATGAAATGATTAACATGTAAACAGTGTCGTTCAGAGTGGTTTGGTGTGAAATGCTCTGTTCTAGAGAAACTTACCGTCAGAATTGTTCACAGTGGTGATGATAGGAACCAGACGTCCACCTCTAAAAGCTCCCTCACACAAATATGAAATCATTATAAATATGCTTTTGGGAAGATTTTGGC